GCACTGTGCAATCCAAAACTTTGGTGTGAAAAAGAAATTGACCGTTCCAGATGAAGATGTGAGTCAGAGTTAAAACTTTCCTTGGTGACAAGTTAAATCTGATCAAAACAAAAATGACACTTTTACTAGAAAATAATGTGGCATCATAATTTTTGTGCGCTTGAGCTCAAAGGTCCACCAGATAGTGTTGATTTATTAGTTTAGAGACAGTATCTTAGAGATAGTTGTTTAGATAAGTTGGTAAAACAATAAATTCATTTGTGTGTTCTCAGGTTGAGAACTAAAAGAGCCTGAGAACTGATTTTCACAGAATAACACGATTGCATCAATGATTGTTTTATTTAGTTAATGTAACACTAAACAGTTTCCAGCTTCTCCCTCCTACTGGTTGAACGTGAAATTACAACTGTCATAAACAACCCTGCAACAGCCTGCCGTACATAGCGCTAACAACGAGCTAATGCTAAAATGAGCCAACTGGTACTAACTAAGCCACAAATTAAAAAGATCCACACTGTTGAACAAAAAAATATTGATTACAACAAAGCCATGTCACCATAAGCCCCTGATTTCATAGCCTCCTTTAGCTTCCTCCAATGAGTGTAGGTCATGCCGATCTTCACTCTGGCTTTAACTCATTACTTTGCCTCCAAAGTCACAATTCTCTGATTTTCACTTCCAGCCTCCACTGTGGCGCCAACAAAAAAGCAAATTTCTTTTTTCCTTCTTCTTTTTATTGATGGTCGGCAAACTGAAAAAGCTATCTGCTAGCCTTCATATTAGTTACTGGCACAAAAAAGAGCTAACAGCCATCAAGCAGGTAAAGAGCACCCCGTAGGGCACCTAGCCTCTCCACAAAACTGTTAAGTCCTGTGTCTGGTCATCAGAGGGCTGCAGAAAGGTGTCCCAAGTGAAACTGTTAAAGTTTCTACCTACACAATCACTGAACCCCACTTTTAAAGGAATTGCTGATAGTGTTAAAACTAAGATCATGTTTTCAAAGGAGATCACAGATCCAAATTTCCCTCCATTAATGCTAACTTTGACATGAGCCATGGTTGACCTTTAACCCTTGGCATAAAGTTACAAAGTCCTGTTATAAGTCCCGGGAATTCCAAGAAGTGTTGATATTTCTTAATGCTTCTACATGAGACATGGGATTTGTTTAGTTTCAGGCTCAAACTATTTTTGAAATGAGCTTTGAGTCAAATTATTTGATATGTTCCAGGAAGAGAGTTCAATGACCTGAAAAGGAGTTAACATCCCTGCTGTTGTGGTGTTTTTGTTCACAACAACGCCAGTGATGATATCTGTCATCCACATTTTCCCAACAGTTGCATTATCTCAGAGCAAACCAGTGTAATTTCAAAGATTAGACCAATTCACTGCAAACATTTACAACTCAATTCCCACAGCCTTGAAAATATTTCACCTTTTCAACGCTGTAATGGAAATCAGTGTAAAGCCTGAGGAGCCAGCAGTTAGAATGTCACATTAATAAACAAGATAACGTGAACTGCCTGCAGTGTACAAAACCAGCTGCCCCCGTTTACTCAGAGCGTGATATCATCAGCATCAATGTCTGGAAATGATTTCAGACGTGCGTCTAGGTGGCAGCAGCTCTGAGAGTCGCTGTGAATCAGGATGTGAGCAGTGACTGCTAACCTGGGGCTGCCCTTTACTGCTGCTGATTAATCAAATATTCATTAGGAATCATGTCTAGTGAGCTATTTTTAAATCTGAGCCTTTCAGCTGCAGGTGCACTTCGGTGCACCTAGATTGCAGCAAAAAATGTGTTTTCCATGGCTGGAGAAAGTAGAACCAGCACGATGATCTCAGCATGACAAACATGTTAAATATTAACTTTAGATAAGAAGTAAGAGACAGTAGTCAAACTGTTGTGCATTTAGAGAACGTCTTTGAAATCTTGTGTTTTTCTGTTGATTTAGTGCACTGTTGTTCCAGTGAAGCTCCATGTTCGCATGAGAACTACAAGCTCACTTGGAAAGTTGCACATGTTTAGTCTTGCAGTGTTTTTATTGAGAGAAGGCCTGTTAAAGAGTGAGATAATGAAGTAAAAAGCCTCTTGAGGGTGAGGGTGTGCCCCAGTCTTTGGAACTGGCTTTTACAAAAATAAAAAAATAAAACAGATGGTAACTTAATAGAAGAACCTCTGCATGCTCAATAATTATCAACACAGATTAAAATAAATAAATAATTCCAAGAAAAATAAGCACTTAAATGTCTAAAAGCTCTATCATTTTCTGGTCTGCTTGTTGGTTATTTTCAGGTATTTTTTTCTGTTTCATCCACTCTACTCTGACACTTCTATGTGATTTTTGTGACCTGACTGTGAGAATAAAGCTATAACACCTGAAAGTGAGTATTTCCATCAGCTAAGTCAACTACATTCCTTCCTGTGTTGAGATAAACTCAAATCAATGTAAAAGTCAGATTCAGTTGAATTTGGAGACCCACAGATTTTTAAAATAACATTTCTTCCTTTATCTGAACAATCCGAATCAAACTGAAGGTTTCAGGGCGGGTCTAGTTTTAGTTGTTATATCAGCATTTTCTAAATGCCTTCGCACTCTTTGGCTCACCACTCCAACTCCTTATCTTTCCCACACCTCTTCACTTTTTTTTAAATCAAGACACGCCCACTTGTGCTGCAAGCAAACAAAAGAGTGCTTAAGGAGAAAAGACTGAGTTTTTAAAAGATAAACAACAAAATATGCACTTTTACTTGCTTCTGATTGGTTGTCAGCTTAACCAGTGACTCTAAACACTGAACTCTCTAAATGACCCTCTTTGACCTCAAGAATGTTGAACTCTGGATGACAGATTCTTTGTGGAGCCACCGCCTCCTCTCACTCTGCTGTGGTTAAAATGTTATGGTTGCTGTTTCCATTAATTATTCTCAACTGGATAGGGCTCCTAAGACTTGGAATAAATAAAAGTTTAACTAAAAGAGGAGGAAGTGTAAGCCACATGGGAGTTTATTTTGTCCAAAAATTATACAACACGTTAAGAATGAGTCCTAAATTTTTATAAAGTCCAATGATTCAAGTGTTTGAGTGTTTAGTCCAACGAAAATATCATTTTCTTCTCCTTGTCTGGTTTGATGACATAATTTTTGTGAGACGAGCAGTTGGAGTCCTCTAACCTAAAATCACGGTTGCCGCCTGTCAAAAATAAGTGCTTTCTTTGCATCAAAATGTGTCTCTAAAATTCATGGACATCATGTTAAATCCATGGCACATTTCAGACGGGATCAGGCAATAACTGCTATCGGCCCGTTGATTCACGTTATTTTTCTTTTGGCAGTAGGGGACCCAAGAATCAGAAGTAGACCGGCGACTTAGGCTCACTATTGGATTTCCTTTAATACTTCAGTCTACGTCAGTGCGGCAAAACAATTCTTCGCCAAGACAGCAGGGGGCGTAGAACCGTTTTGGTAGGTCTGCCCACCATTGCAGTGTTGTCTCTGGTTAAATGGCCTGTATTTGATATAGCACCTTCTAGAGTCCTGGAACCCCACAAGGCGCTTTACAACACAATCAGTCATTCACCCATTCACACACACATTCACACACTGGTGGGGATGAGCTACGATGTAGCCACAGCTGCCCTGGGGCGCACTGACAGAGGCGAGGCTGCCGAGCACTGGCGCCACCGGTCCCTCCGACCACCACCAGCAGGCAATGTGGGTTAAGTGTCTTGCCCAAGGACACAACGACAGCGACAGACTGAGCGGTACTCGAACCTGCAACCTTCTGATTACAGGGCGAGCACTTAACTCCTGTGCCACCGTCGCCCCTGGTTGACAACAGTTTATTGGGACAGCAGTAGCTTAGGAGGTAGACTGGGTTGTCCAGTAACTGGAAGGTTGTAGAGTCCATCCTGGATCAGAGAATGCTGCTGTTGTGTCCTTGGGCAAGACTTAATCGGCCTGGCCTGCTGGTAGTGGTCAGAGTAACTGGTGGCACCAGTGTTCGGCAGGCCTCACCTCTATGAGTGCACTGCAGGACAGCTGTGGCTACATCGTAGCTCATCCCCACTAGTTTGTGAATGTGTGGATGAATGAGTTGTGAAGTGCCTTGGGGGGTTGTAGAATCCTAAGAAGGCGCTACACACACACACACACACACACACACACACACACACACACACACACACACACACACACACACACACACACACACACACACACACACACACACACACACACACACACAGGACAATGTAATGTGTCTATACACACACACAGGCAATTCTTTAAACCATTTTATTTACTTGTAAACGTACAAGTTTTGAAGAAGGTGTGAACTGAAATAGAAATTTAAGATTTGTGTTGATATTGGAATTTGTTGTTGTTTCCATTTTGTTAAATAAAGTTTGAAAAAAAAATCTTGTAAACGCTAATCCGCTCAAGAAGCAATGGCCGAAAGAGAGCAAGTTTTCATCAAGCTGGAAAGAAAACTTTTGTTTCAAAGAATTCAACACGAAGGAGCTAGCAAAAGATGGTGGAATGTCCGTGTCCGTCCCCCATGGCTGTCATTGTTGAAGGGCCAACCAAACACAGATGTGCTCTTTGTTGCGTTTGACAAATGTTTTAAAAATTGGGCTTTTCTCTGTCCACCCCTGTGTGCCTGTCGGAGAACCCTTGCATCGGTTTATAATGACGCTGCGTGGTTTTCAGAAGCTGTATGTTGTATCATCAAAATTATAACAAACTAAGTCTTGAAATATCTCGCTTGAGTCTATCTCTTATATTAGCTTCACCTTTTAAGTTATACTACTGAAATAAATTAATTATTGCACTATATTATACATTTTTGAGTTTCACCAATACATATAGGGTATTTTCACATTCATTATGAGATGATCCAGTGTTGGTGCACCCCTATCTAGACGTCTTGTGCCTCCTTTATCCCATTTAAAATATTTTAGATCCGCCCCTGCAGACGGTCCCACATTTGCTTCAGGGCTTTTCGCAAATACACAAGGTGTGGTTTCTGTTCCCAAAGCAGGCAGCTTCCGTCTATTCAGAGTATTATCAGCGCAACAAGAGACGGGGCGGAGAAAGAGCGACGGAGAGAGAAAGGCGTACAGTTCGGTCGCTGTTCGGACAACAAAACTAAAAACTTTATCTGAGAACTACAGAAACGCATCAAACTATGAGTCATTACGGCTCCAACCCCAGACTAGCCTCTTATGCCCAAAGAAGTAACTCTCGACAGGATTTGACGAGTTACAGAAACGACGGTTTCATGCCTGGAAACGGCTTCCAGAGAGATCACCCACAGATGGAGGGAGGGTATAGTTACCAAACCACCTTCTCCAGGAGCTCCATGCACGGCGGAGGCGGAATGAAGCTCCAGCAAAGCGCCGTCGGAGTTGCGCCTGTGCCAAGGTAAGCGCTCCTCTATCATCGGTTCTAAAACTTGAAATGAAAAACAGGAAATTAGCTAGAAATCAAAATTATAAACCATGTTTTTTTTCTCTCCTCTGTGTTTTAAATGATATTTTATGAAATCTAAAACTCCAGATGAAACGCACTGAACGCCCCAGCAGGTTCACCTTTAAAAACAGCACCAAGAGCACAATGAAGGCAGTGTTTGTTCATTTAGGATTACACATTTGTCGTAACCTGATCTCTAAAATAGCGTTTTTACCACCTGATCCATCAGTTTGCCTACGTTTTTTTTATTTGTTTGCTTCATTCCTAATCTGTTGCCTAACATAAATGAGACCAAACACACCCCTCAAAGTCATTTGGTGTGACATGAGTGTGCTGAAGTTGTGTGTCATGTCAATTTATTCTAAAAGTTTAGGCAAGAAGTTTGGAAATGTTTTCTGAAACTTGAAGTTTTCAATAAAAACATTTATTTTTCAGAATTTCTGACCCTTTTGTGACCTTTAATCAACAATTCAATATGTTATTAAAATTTATAATAAGATTTTACAATAAAATAGTTATTTAATGCTATTTGTGTTTAAATAATTGCCTAAATTTTGAATAAATGCTTTATTTTTAGTTTTCTCAGGGCTACGGACAACTTTGTAACATGTTAATAATTATATTAGCATCTTCTAATAAGAGAGTTTTTTTTTTCAATATATTAAAAATGTAATTGTTTTCCCCCATCTGATGTGTAGTGCACAAGCCATTCAGGAAAAAGCTTTTTTCCTGAAAAATCAATGTCAGGATTACCTGGAGAGAGCAAGCATGATCATCAATAGTGTAAGTAAAACTTGCCCAACCAAACTCAATAAAATGGAACTCATTTGTTTATTTAAACATTTTAATTGTAAAAGCAGATTTTAGGTATGGATTTGAAGTGTAGCATTTTTGAGGCAGATCATTTAGCAGCTTTGCTCTTGTTTTGCTGGATCTCATAGGGAGGCCCTGCTATTGAAGCAGACAAGTTCTTGAACTTGGCTGCAGAGGCCCTCAATACTCTGAAGTTCTGTGGCAGAGACCTGCAAGAAATGCATATACAAAATGATGTTTTCAGCACGTAAGCTAAAACAAATTTTTCCTGTTTTTTTTTTTTTTTTAGCTCTACACTAAATGTTGTTTAATCCTTAAACAGAGAAAGCTCTGTAAAAGCAGCATGAGCAGTGTTCTGGTTGAAAGATTTACAGTCTTCCTTCTTTGTACGTTTCTGCAGTGTTGACAAGTTACAGCAATGGCATGCGAGTGTGCAGCAGAAACTTTACGGCACTGGGACTATTGGCACTGGGACCATTGGCACTGGGACCATTGGCACTGGAACCATGAAAATGAAAAGAATGAGTGTTGGCGGTGATGGGGAGCGACTCTTTAACAACGTCAGCAGCTGGATTGCCCAACAGATTGTGAGAACACTTACAGGAAGAACATGAAAAACAAAAACAAATAGCTGAACTCGAATCTGATGCAGCTGCAATTCTTTTTAGCAAACTGTTGCTGCTTGGGCAGATTTTTAGAGACACACTTACTGTTGCACGTCATTTAAACAACACCTTTAAAGCAGATATTTCAAATTTTGTGGACAAAATTAATTTTATGCATGTGAGTGGATTGCATTCCTAGCTTATTAATTTCCGTGCCTTTTGGTAACAGCTCCAACTTAGATTTATTATGACTCTGGGATCAAAGGCCGAGTAATGAATAACTTTTATGTTGCAGCTGTGTATTTGTTTAAAGTGCAACTGACAGCTAATGATTTGGCTCAGTGGGAGGTGGAGGAAGAGATGGATTCACCCTATCACGCATGCTACCCTAATGTAACTGAAACCTTCTGTACTCGCTGCCAAAACCTGATCCGTGAGTGAAAAAGGCCAATAGACTTACAGGAGGGTTGAAACAAAAGAGGAGAGAGAGAGAGAGAGAGAGAGAGAGAGAGAGAGAGAGAGAGAGAGAATGGTCGACAAGAGGAAGGAGGGCGGCCTTAAAGCAAAAGAGAAAGGAGTAAAAAAAAGTGGGATGTTCTCTCGACTGAGTCAGGTTTTGACGAGTGCAGCATTCGTTTTACCTTTAGACTGTTCACTGGAAAACGCCCTTCTACTCACACACTCCTCTCCACCTTCCCAGAAACACACCCTGTCATTCTGTCACTGCTTCCAGCCTCTCCCCTCTGAATCTCGCCATTTGTGTTCCTGCTGTGGCACCCATTTTGCAGTTTTCCAGTTTAAACCAAAACGTTTTCCTTTTCGCTTGTATCCCTTCATTTGCATATTTGGCCAGACTGACAGTTCAAGGGGGAACTCTGTTGATGTTTTCAGTCTCGTCTTAGTTACGTTTCTGAGAATCAGAAATGGCTCGCCGTTTGTTGCTGTAGGCAAGCAATTGTTCAGGAAAAAAGGGAGTGGCGAGAGAACAAAAGCCTTGAGAGAGAAGGGGTGGGAAAAAAATGCAGTGCACAGAACAGGGACGGGCTGAGGTTATGTGCTGGCAAGGCTCCTATCAAAGCAGTCGGCTTCAAACAAGGAGGGCATAGTTGGAATAGTTCCCAGTTTAACAATAACCTAATGATTATATGCTGACACCTAGAGGGCAAAAAGAATAAAAGACCAAAAGACGGAGGCACTAAAACTAATTAAAAGTGTGTCTTACTGTCGGGGATTCATAGACATTTTGCAAATAATCTCTTTATTGCTCTCATTCATGTAGCTTGTCTTCTAAAATGCCAATCCATTGAACTTCTCAGCTCATGCCATGGATTTTAATTATTGTAGACTTTAAATTGTTGCTTTCTTTTGTAGAAAAAGATTCAAATTGTTGAAGTTCAGAATCTGGTTGCAGAATTTTGAAAGACTGCATGTCCACATTACCTAGTTTGTCTGAAAGCTGTGATAGGAAAATAATAAATTTCTGCTTTATGTCTAACAGCGCATCATTGAAACTGCTCCGTGGGGGGATGACACTATCGCCATAAACAACCAAATTAAAAAACACAACCAATTCCACGACTCAATCAAAAGAAACGACGAAGTAGAGCAAGCCAAATTTCAACTGGTATGTATTTTTTTATTAAGTCGATGGTCTTTTTATGATTCTACTTAGGAATAAACGCCTAATAATAAAATACATAAATAAAAATACTCTCCTTTTGTAGACAGCAGCAGGCGATAAGTACAGGCTGAACCTGCTGGAGCAAGAATGGGACCAACTGATGGTATCAGTGTGATCTTTAAACAGTGATCTTTACATCATAACCACTTTTTTATTATTTACATTCTATTGATGAATTTGTTGAATTTTGCAGAAAACTTCCTTCAGGCGCTTGAACCAGCTGCGGGACCTTGAGAGCATCCTTGATGCGATCAGTTCTGAAATCATGTGGGTGAATGAAAAAGAAGAGCAGGAGCTGGTGTTCGACTGGGGAGACAAGAACATCGATGTGTATGTCCCCAAGAAGGAGGAGAGCTACTCTGTGAGAATCCCTGACCAATCCCAGCATTTGTTGTTGGTGTCCACTGTGTGAATGTTTGTGAGTCTTTGATTTCTGTTTGTGCAACAGAGGCTGATGAGTGATTTGGAGGCGAAGGAGAAAGAGATCAACAAGTTGAACGTGAAAGCGAATGCTCTCTTGAGTGACAACCACCCTGCTTCAGACAAACTTTTGGTAACTAGATATTCTTCTTTTATCGAAAACAGGCTGGTTTTCTTGGGTTTTGCATTCACAACGCTGTGCACCCTTAGGCTTACCTAGAAACCCTGCAGACCCAGTGGAGCTGGCTTCTGAAGATCACCAAGTGCATCCATGTCCATCTGAAGGAGAACTCTGCCTACAGCCAAGTTAGTGCTCCAGCCTGCTCTCTGATTAAAGTTCTGCATGCTTTCATGTAAGCTAACTTTTCATGTCTATCTGCAGTTTTTCAAGGAGGCCAACGAGACCTACGCAAAGCTTCAAAAACAGCACGAGACTATCAGAACCAAATTCAGCTGTGACAAGAGCACTCCACTGGAAAACCTCACAGAACTCCTACAAAACCTGGAGGTGTATTTACACTACATTACATACTATTGAGTCGTTTCCCTGCAGCTGTAAATATTCACAAGTACTTATCCTGCAGACGATTTGCATACCCACTGGACTAGTTGGGGGTAATTCTAAAGTAATACTAAATAAGTTTTCTGCTTCTCCCTCCTACTGGTTGAAAGTGAAATTACAACTGTCCCAAAGAACCCTGCAGCAGCCTGCTGTAGCTAGTAATAACAACAAGCTAATGTGAACACAAGGCAGCTGATACTAAATAAGCCATGATGTAAAAAGATCCACGCTAAGTCCAGTTGCAACAAGGCCAGGTCACCATCAGTTTCTGGTCTTCTGGTTTTAGCACTTTAATTGTACTTTGTCTTTAATTGTCTCACTTCCAAAGACATTACAATCTCGCTTTTACTTCCATGTTCCATCACGACACCAACAAAAATGCTAAATTCTTCTTCTTCTCATGCTTGCTGGTCAACGAACCAAAAAAACTAACAGCTAGCTTTTATGTTAGCTACCGGCTAACCTTAATGTTAGCTACCGGCACAGCAAACAGCAATTGCATAGCCGGTAGAGCCCTCCCATTATAGTGTTCTTACCCGAACCACAAAACTATTAAGTGCAGTTTCTGGCTCAAGAACCACTGAATCCAGTTTGAAATCAGCTTAAAGTGTTAAAAACTCTTTAGTGTTGCTTTAAGGAAATCTGTCTGCACGTTTGCATTTGTCATTAGGTTTTATACATGCAGTGGCTGTTAAAACTCTGTTAATGCTGTTGATTGTATGTTTTTTTTTTTTTTAACAGAAAGAGAAACAGCGAGTCTTGGAAAATAAGAGGCAAGTCCAAAGTCTGGTCAGCAAGTCAAAGTCCATTGTCAGGCTCAAACCTCGCAACCCTGAGGTGAAAAGCACCAGCCCCGTCATAGTCAAGGCTTTATGTGACTTCATGCAGGATCAGGTGGGGTTTGTCTTTATTTTGTTTTGTGCACACACTCAAAGAGATACACAAAAACTCAGAGTTTCAAATGAAATGTCATAAACATGACTTAGTGGACTATTTTGCGTTTCAGAAAGGTATTTTGCAGGGGGACGAAGCCATTCTGAAAGACAACTCACAGCGCAGCAAGTGGCTTGTGACGGGACCTGGAGGCCTTGAAATGACGATTCCCTCCGTGTGCCTGATCATCCCACCACCAAACCCAATCAGCGTTGGACTTGCCAACAAGTAAGATTCATGATCAAATTTAAATTGGGGAAAATATCACAGCATTCTTGTCATTGTGAAATTTGTAGAAAAGCTCTGCTCATAATGGTACATAGAGCCCTGTGATTGGCTCCGCCTAAAAGTTAAAGCCCCATTAGTCATCTTCACACTTTTGGTGAATTTACATCTCTGCATTTGACCCATCCCCTTGGGGAGGGGTGAGCTGCAGACACGGCCACTCCATCGCACAGCCCAAAAAATGTAATTAAGCTGAATTAAGCTTAATTACTTAAGCAGGGGGTTAATTAGCTGGGGTTTAGCTTGCAAATTATGATCTAAGGGGAATTTTCTAAGTCAACACATTTCATGGCCCAGATGGGTTCTGAATCCGGATCTGCTGCATGGGAGTCCACCCACTTCACCACTGGCCTAACAAGTAGGGAGTCTTTGGTCTGACCCGATTGAGACTTGAACTGGGACTTGAACCACGATCTCCCAGTCCAAGGGTGAACACTCTACAACTAGGCCACTGAGAAGGTTTAAAAATATCTGAACCAATGGCAGACCTCCTGAGGGAACCATAGAACATGGCTAGACCGCCCTGCAGAGCTAAATCTTTTGCCACTGCTAGGATTTGTTTAGATAGGCTAGCAGATTTCAAAATATAGGATGCATTAAATCACGTTTTGTTATTTTTGGATGTTTTAATAGAAAGATTGACGACTGTGTCCTGTTTTCAGAAACGAGCAGTACTATGAGGCCATCTTGGGCATTTGGAATCAGCTCTATATCAACATCAAAAGCCTCATCTCCTGGCAGTATTGCCTCAAAGACATGAATTATATTAACTCCCTCACTCTCACCATGGTAAAAAGTCACAAAGTACACTCTTGACTCACTAAAATAAGACACTAATTTCACTCAAAGGAAGGCTAAATGTGGTCCTTGTTTTTTATTGTTAACCTAGAAGATCAGTCGCAATGTTTTACCTAGTTTAATCCGCCTTGTCTTTCTGGCAGCTGTCGAAGATGAACCCTGAGGAATACCGCACCCTCATCAAGAGACTGGAGACCCACTACCAGGAGTTTGTGCGTACGAGCCAAGGCTCTGAAATGTTTGGTGAAGAGGAAAAGAAAAACATTCAGGGCCAGTTTGACAAAACCCAACAGCACTATGACACGCTGATTATTCAGCTGCCTATCTTTAGTGAGTATACATTTTGTTTTGTTTTTAAAAATGAATTTTACAATTTTATGTGTCTTGAGGGGTTGTTTTGTTGCATGATCTGCAGAATCCCAAATTCAGCTTTTTTTAATTAGTGCTTCTACAAATAACTAAAAATTTTTCTCTTATCTTTTCTTAACATTTCACTAGTTAAAGAGGGGGAAGAACAGATGAAGACCAATGAACAGTGGAAGATCGAGGAACAGACGAAGATAGAGCAGGTGAGGATTGAACAGGCAAGGATTGAACAGGCGAGGATTGAACAGGCGAAGATGGAAGAACAGGTGAAGATAGAACAGGCAAAGATGGCACAACAGACAAAGACAGAAGTACCGGTCAAGACCGCACCTCCAAAAACAGAAGTTAAGGTCACCCAAGCCACGGTAACCAAAGGGAAGCCACCCACACAAGCCAGTTCCTCCGTCAGCCTCACATTGCTCAGCAGCCTGCAGGATCTTCACCGCCAACTGGAAATCGCTGAATCCGGTTTGACCAGTCACCTCCACGTTCCCTTTGGGGACAACAGTGTGCACGAGTGCTCAGTGCACATTCAGAAGCTGCAGGTGCAAAACCCCTTCTTATATTCAGAATGCATTTATGAGTTTTTTGGTCAAAAATGTGCAAAAAATAAGTACAACCCAGTTTCATGGAAGCGTCTTTCAACTTCAAAAAAAATAAAATATATTCACTTCCAGGGTGTGCATCAAGATCTGGAGTTGATTCACGATGAGTACATCCGCCTGAGAGAGATGATAATAAAGCAGCTGAAAGGTGTTCCCGCTGACTCTGATCAGGCCAAGTTTCTCCGCTCTGAACTAGAAATCATCAACCAGAAACTGGGAGGCCTGCAGGGTCTCTACTCAGCCTACATTCAGAGGTAAGGTTATTTATTCACAAAACATCATTTTTAACATTCATCACAACTGATTAAACATTTTCTTCTGTTGTTTTAATGTAATCACTGCGTGTCTACAACAGACTGTCTGCGCTGAAGGCCTTGCTCCAGAGCCTTCTCCAGGCTGAAGATATCGTTAAGGTCCACGAAGCTCGGCTAACTGAGAAGGACACCAGCTCCCTGGACCCTATAGAACTGGAAAACTATCGGAGCTCATTAAAGGTTTGAGTCCATATTTCGTTACTTTTTGCCATATTTTAAATATGAAAATATCCTGCTAAAATACATTTCACTGCATCTTACAGGTAAACGTATTTGTAAAACTATTTGAGACTAAATTGGATTTTATCAGCTTCTCAGCTTTCAACTTCCTCTTAAGTAATCCACCTCAATAGTGGACTTTTAGATTTACATTTTTTTTTTTACTATACTTAGAAATATATCTTTTCTATTGTTTATTAACCTACTTTTTACTTATGGATTAAATTTTCATGCATACAAACATTAAAAAAAACATTAAATGTGTTTCTTTACCCTAAAATTAAACTAAAAAATGTTAATAATACTGGCTAATCCATTTTAATTCTCTATTGCAAGGATTTAGGAGGATTTTATTTGCATTTTTACACCAATTTAACATGTATATGTTCAGTGCTGACAAAAAAAAATTTATTTAATAAACATCAAAGACTGAATCTAGATTTTTGGAATATTTGGATTTAAAACTAAAGATGAACAAAGAAGGAAAAATAGCTGCTCAATGAATGACTTGCACTAACCGATTCTAGCACATACTCATTTTCTAAATAACACTGTTTGTGATATTTGGATGAATATATGACAATATCTTGTGATTCTGTTTTAAAGCACATGAAGAATGAACTGGAACTAAAACGAGAACTACTGACAACTATGGAGTCTGAGTTGTCCAAAGCATCCCACTTTAACAGCCAGATTTCTGACTCCTTCCACAAGTGTGACGTTGACTTGGCCAAATATTCTGAGCAGGTGAACCTGCTGGGTGACCGCTGGCGCCGTATCCAAACCCAGATTGACAGCAGGTAGAGCAGGCTGACCGGTAAACTTGGGACACATTCCTCATCGCTGGTAAACAAAAGTAATGCTTCCTTCCATCTTTTCCTCTTCCTCTTTCCACTTCAGAATGTGGGACTTGGACAAACAGAAGGATCGGGTAACACAATATCAGCAGAGCAAAACTTCCCTGGAGTTCTGGATAGACAATGCCAGGAAACGCCAGGACACTCTCCAGACGGTTAAGATCAATGATGTCCAGATGTTAATGGACCACATCAACCAACAAAAGGTATGTCTTTTCCTTTTTTTGCACACAAGAAAACACATTTTTGTCTTTAATTTATTTAATTATCACGTATACAGATATATTCGAATTGCGTGAATTGTAAAGCGTAGCTTGTGCAAAGCGAAATGTCAATTATTCTTAGAATAATTAGCAAAGTACAAAATTAATTTCATTATATTTTGTTACAGAACTGCAAAGTCACATTACAATAATGTCTTCTGTTTTTTTTTCTCTTAGACTCTTTATAATGAAATTAAAGGCAAGAAGGACAAAGTTGATGAAATGCAGAAGAATGCAGACAACTGTGCTGCCTCTATAAATGTTGGTGCACGTTTTAATTGATTTCAAAGCACATTTATGTGTTGTGCATCAGTGTGAATAACACTGAGTTTGATGTTTGCAGGATTATGAGCTGCAGCTTGCTTCTTACAGTTCAGGACTGGAGACTCTGCTTAATGTTCCTATCAAGAAAACTGTCCTGCAGTCCCCTGCTAAAGTGGTCAGACAAGAGGTATTAGTCGTGACCTGCTCCAGTTTTGTTTGTATTGTTTATATTAATAAGTTATTTATTTGTAAATTGAAAAAGTTTTATCTCATGTATTATGCTGTATATTTCGAGTGATTATCACCAGCGTCATTTGAAAGTATAGGTTTTCATTAGTATTTACAAGGGGTGGGAATTTAACACCTTAATTATGATTAATTCATTAGTAAAAAAACTGCATTCAAATTTTACATTTGAGCCCAAGTTTAGTTGTATATATTTTTTCCAATAATACGACACCCACATTTTTTATTGAGACTCGCCGAAATGCATTGAATTCACGGATAAAAAAGATGTGGGTTCAACTTTCATTTTGGAACAATTTTTCAAGCAAGGGAAGGGAATGATCTGAGCATGCAGGAGTAGTGACCCATCATAAACGTTTGTCGGCTGTGCTGAAGAGAAAGGTACAGAACCAAATTATTTAATTAATTAGCAGCGTGTTCACCTGTCCTCTGTCCTCCGGGCCACACACGCGCGCGCACACACACACACACACACACACACACACACACACACACACACACACACACACACACACACACACACACACACACACACACACACACACACACACACACACACACAAACACACACTGCACGTTCGGCTGGCCGACGAGAAAGTGCAGCTGCAGAGACAGAGGCACATTATTTTAATAATTTGCTGTGTTCTTCTGTCCTCCGGGCCACACACACACACACACGGGACGCTCTCAGAGCTCTCTGCTCTGTCTCAGCTGTTATTTTCGTTAAGGAGTGTGCACGTACAGCATGCATAATTGTTTAGTCATGTGAACAGTGAATGAAATAATCTCAGAACCGTAAATGTGTGTGGTGTGTGTACATGATAACGTAAATTCAGCTTTAATAATTTTCATTTTATACAAAATCTGCTGATTTTAGAAGCATTAATACCAGCATATCGGTTATCGGCCATAATAGTGATCTTAATATTGGATATCAGTATGGGCCCAAAAATTTCATATCGGTGCACCACTAAAAAAGATTATTAGAGTGGGTCTTTAATAAAAAGAGATTGCTAATTGTCTTGAACGATTAAAATGTGACAAATCAAGATTATTAATTATAAAGCGTCTGATCAATTAGATATAGTTTTTTATAGAGTCTACCACTATTATTTACCCATTCATTTTATCTTCCATCAGGCTTCTGGACTCCAGGCCCATTACATAGAGCTGCTGACCCGCTCTAGTGACTACTACAAGTTCCTGGGAGATCTGCTGAAAAATATGGAAGAACTGAAGGTTGGTATTTTTATTTTATTTGCATAAAAATTCTAATAATATTTGTAAAGGTTTGAGCAGCTAAGTTTACATGAAACAATAACAACGTAATCGGAGGTGACTGACGTACTTTGTCTCTGATCTTTTTTATCAGTTAAGAAACACCAGGATTGAGATGCTAGAGGAGGAACTAAAACGTCTAAAGGATGACCTCCTAGATAAAAACCAAAAAAACAAGTCTCTGGAAGATGCTTTGGAGCAATACAAGTTAGAGCTCAGTCAGTCAAAAGATGAACTCATCAATTTGGAGGAAGTGAAGAGAACAACCTCAATTCAAGTTAGTGCTGTCAAGGAGAGCTTAGGCAGCACACAAGGCCAGATTCAAGATCTTAATGAGCAGCTGAGCCGCGTTAAATACCAGCTAGAGGAGGAAAAGAGGAAAAGAAGGCTTGCAGAAGAGCGCTACAACAGCCAGCAGGAAGAGTATGAGTCTGCTGTTCGCCGTAGACAGAAAGAATATGAAGAGATCACCTGGGTGAAGATTGATTTAGAGAAGGCTGTGAAAGATAAAGAGCGAGAAATTGAGAGGTTGAAGCTACAGCTAGAAGAGGAAGCAACCCGTCGACGAAATGCTGAGTCAGATATCTCTAAGGTAAGAACACAGTGCACCCAGGAGATTAGTCAGCTTAAACAGACATACGAGACAGAGATCCACGTTACCAAGACCACCATTCTGAAAGCATCACAGCAGAAAGAAGAAGACGCAACAGAGCTGAGGCTGCTAGTTCAGCGACTCACTGATGAGAAGAGAGATCAAGAGGAGGAACTTAGAAGACTGAGACAGTCCATTACTCTCATGGAAGTTCAGAAAACTCAGGCAGAGCAGGAGGTCGGCCAGCAGAGGGCGTCAGTGACTCAGGAAACAAGGATTCGCAGTGAGCTGGAATTGCAGCTGAGAACCCTCAAGCATCAGAGAGAAGAAGATGAAGTCAGTTTGAAGGAGGCCATGAAAAGCAATCAGGATAAGTCCAGGCAGATTAGCCTGCTTTCATTTAACCTGGAAGAAGAAGGGAAGAAGAGGAGGGCACTGGAACTGGAAATCAATCACTTAAAACAAGCTGAAGCAGAGTTGAAATCAAAGAATGTCTCCTATCTTGAAGCAATTAACAAACTCAAGGTGACAGAGCAGGAGATCCACATCACCCGAGTAGAGCTAGAAAAGCAGACTAGTGATAAAACCAAGGCTGAGCAGAGCTCTGCCAGGCTCCAGAGCCATATCCGGGAACTTCAGTGCTCTCTGGATGGGATGGAGGCCGAGCTGGAGAAGCAAAAGAACGCAGCACAGGAAGAGTTCACTCGTAGAAAGAGAATGGAGGCAGAGTTGGAGAGAATGACACGTACCTGCCGAGAGCACACCACTACGATCACCTCATTGAAATCGGTTCAGATTGAGGCCTCAACCTCTGGCAGAAAGTATGAGCAGGATATTAGGGCCCTCCAAGAAGCACTGGACAAGAGCATGAGGGATCATAAAGCCACAAAGGAAGACCTAGGAGCAGTGGCAGATGAGTTAAAAACACTCAAACAAAAGCTCCAGCAGGAACAGGTGCGAAGTCATGAGCTTAACCAGCGTAATGAAACTCTGTATAAGACCATCGAGGACAAGAGTCGCCTGCTTAATGACTACACCACAGAGATCGGAAAGCTGAAGACTTTGACACAGAACCTGACAAAGGACAGACTGAAGCTGGAGGAGGAGCTAAGAGCAGCAAGACAGGAGAGAGACGAGCTGAAGAGTAGCAAAGATGCTGTTGATGGAGAAAAAGCTACTCAGATCTCAGCCTTGAATGTCCAACTTCAGAGTAGCTCCAAGAGGACGACTGAGCTCCAGGTTCTCATCAGTGAACTGACCAAGGAGAGAGAAATGCTTAAAACGGAGATAGAAAAATTCCAAAAGCAATCCATTGAGGTATTTTCTATCACATTGAAGGGTCATGTACTCATAATGCAAAGTAATATTGCTGCTTGCATGGTTGGTTACATGTGCTTGAATGCAGTGCTGTGATATCAAATAGTTGTGATTACGTAGTTTTTAATGAAATGATCATTAAATTCACTCACTTATAAATTCTTCTGCTTAATTATGCATGCAATTCAATTTCACATAATGTAACTGACCATTCCTCATGCAATATTAACAATCACAGCAATAAAGACTGTGCACTACCTAACATACATGTAAATGTACCAACAAGTCAAATTCTATGTGCATGTATTAACATTATACTACTGTATTCAGTGCTTTGTGTCCTTATTTCTCCACAGACCTCCATGAGGGTGCATGAGTCCCAAAGCCAATACACTGAACTGCAACTTGAGAGGGATAGTTTGCTGTCCAAGCTGAAACTGATGGAGCAGGACAAGAATCGTCTCCAACGTTTAGAAGAAGAACTTGCTCGAACTAAACTCAGTCTAGAGACCGAGATTCGCAGCAAGCAGCGACTGCAGGATGAAAAGAATGCAATGTTTAAAGAGTTCACCACTATCAAAACCCAGTTTGAGGTTAAAGAGACCCAGATTAGGCACTGTGAATCAGATAGAGACAAGGCTGATCGAGAGAGGATGTCACTGAAAAGTGAGATTGAGCGGCTGATGAGGGAGTTGAGGACTGTTGAGGAGAGGTACAAGAGCCGTCTTTTGAGCTCAGAAAAAGAAGCGTCTGAATTGGCTCTCAAAAGAGATGCCTTGGAGAGAGAGATCCAATTATTAAAGCAGAGACCCAGTTCTCTGACCAGGCAAACCCAGACAGATGAGAATGTCCCAACAATTGATCCATCAAAGCTCTTATTTGATGGGGTACGCCGCAAAGTCACAGCCCACCAGCTTTGTGACTGCGGTATAATCAGTAAAGCCACCCTTGATGATCTACTAAAGGGTAAGAAGACTGTGGATGAAGTAGCGGTGGACATCCAGCTAAGTCTAAAGGGCACTGGCATTATTGCTGGAATGACAACAGGCGCTCAAGGAAAAATGCCATTCACTGAAGCCAAAAACAAGAACCTCCTCAACCCAGAGAGTGCACTCATGCTTTTGGAAGCTCAAGCAGCAACAGGCTATATAGTGGACCCAGGATTCAATGAGAGGATGCCTGTTGATACAGCCTGTTCCAGAGGGATTGTGAACACAGAAGACAGAGATGTCTTGTTGAAAGCTGAAGCTGCAAGCATGGGTTTCAAAGATCCATTCACAGGCAAGATACTTTCCGTGGGACAAGCTCACAAACATGGTCACATAGACAAAGAAACAACCATTCGGTTGCTCCAGGCCCAGGAGTCTGTTGGAGGCATACTGGACCCTCTTCTGGGTGTGTTCCTTCCAAAAGATCTGGCTTTGGATCGCAATCTTATAGATGAGGATCTCTACAGGGCTTTGAACAAAAAACCTACCTGCTACCTAGATCCAGCAACAGGAGAGAAGATAACTTATTCTGACCTCAAAAGGAAGTGTGCGGTTGAACCAGTGTCTGGTTTGCTTCTGCTTCGGGGTCCTGAAAAGTCAATGACAGTGAAGGGTATTCGTGGAGAAGTCTCCGTCTCAGAGCTTGTTAAAGCTGAACTCCTGGATAAAACGGACCTGCAGAAGCTCAACGAGGGACACCTGTCATGCAGAGAAATTGAAGACAAGCTGAAATCTTATCTCTACGGTTCTACTTGTATTGCAGGGATCTATGATGAGGCCAACGACAGAATTATGTCTTTCTATTACGCAATGAAGGAAGGCCTGCTAATGAGGGGAACCACTCTGGAGCTTCTTGAGGCTCAAGCTGCATCTGGCTTCATTGTTGATCCAGTTAACAATGTATTTTTGACAGTGGAGGATGCTGCAAAAAGAGGTCTGATTGGGAAGGAGTTTAAGAACAAGCTGCTTTCTGCTGAAAAGGCAGTAACTGGATACAAAGATCCATCCACAGGAAAGACGATCTCCCTTTTCCAGGCCATTGAGAAAGATCTTATTGAGAAAGGTCACGGAATCCGGTTGCTTGAGGCCCAAATAGCTAGTGGTGGAATTATTGACCCTCTTGAGAGTCACCGCATTGATGTCTCTGTTGCCTATAAAAGAGGATATTTTGATAAGGAGATGAATGAGATCTTAACCTATGAAGGAGATGATACAAAAGGGTTCTTTGACCCTAATACCAAGGAGAACTTGACTTATCTTCAACTGAAGGAGAGATGTATCACCGATTCTAAAACTGGGCTAATACTCCTGCCAATCAAAGACAAGAACAAGGAAAAGGCATCACAGGAAAGCCGCACCAACATCCTTCGCAAGAGGCGTGTTGTCATTGTTGATCCAGACACAGGTCTTGAAATGTCAGTTAGGGAGGCCTATCACAAGCAGCTGATTGATTATGAAACTTTCCTGGACTTGTCGGAGCAGGAGTGCGAGTGGGAAGAAATCAACATCAAAGGACCAGATGGCTCTTCACGTTTGGTGATTGTGGATAGAAAAACTGGAACCCAGTATGACATTCAGAGCTGTCTGAACAAAGGTGTGATTGACCAAAATGCTTTTGATCAATACCGTTCTGGTAAATTAACCTTGACTGAGCTTGCTGACAAAATTACCAGCAAAACTAGCAGCAGTGAGATGACCATTGCAGCCAGCAATGTTGATGACATGGTCACCTGCAGCAGCCCCACCCAGGTAGCACCATCCTCTCCTACTGTTCGTAAACGCTTCAGCAGTATTTCTATCACAGTCTCCCCTCCTGGAATGTTTGATGATCAGAGCCCAGTGGCGGCCATATTTGACACAGAGACTTTGGAGAAGATAACTATTCCTGAAGGGCATAGAAGAGGCATAGTTGACACTATTACGGCTCAAAGGTTGCTGGAGGCCCAGGCTTGCACAGGTGGCATTATCAACCCTGCAACAGGTGAGCGGCTGTCGCTGGAAGATGCTGTCCATCAGAGCATTATCGATGAAAGTATGGCTGCAAAGCTGAAGCCTGCCCAGAAAGCTTACCTTGGCTTTGAAGATTTGAAAACCAAAAGAAGACTTTCTGCAGCTGAGGCAGTAAAGGAGACATGGCTGCCATATGACGCTGGCCAAAGGTTTTTGGAGTTTCAGTACCTGACAGGGGGTCTTGTAGAACCAGGCAATGGACGTCGAATCACAATGGAGGAGGCTATCCGTAAAGGGTGGATAGATGGTCAAGGTGCACAGAAGCTGCAGGATACACGAAACCACCAGAAAAACCTGACCTGTCCAAAGACCAAACTAAAGATCTCGTACAAAGAAGCCATGGACAGCTGTATGGTAGAAGAGAAAAATGGCATGAAGATGATTCAGGCATCCTCCATATCCAGCAAGGGAATAAGCAGCCCTTACAACGTCTCAAACCCAGGATCTCGCTCTGGCTCCAGAGCTGGTTCAAGGAGTGGGTCTCGTAGAGGCAGCGTGGATTACTCATCTACTTTCACTTACAGCTTCACGTCCACCAACTTTAGCTCTAATAGTCTCTGTTAATGCACAATCACCCCAACTGTTCTGAAATAGTTCTATTTTTTGACAATTGCCATTAGAGTTTATTTAGCAGGGTTTGGTTGTTTAACTGCTTACTGTAATGCTTATTCTTTTGTTTTGATGATTTGCAGCTTTCTTCAGTTGTCGTTATATTTAGTTGTTATTATTAATGCTGAGTACTATTCATATTGTAACACTTGTTGATTATACTCTTTGGCTTGTTTTAGCACACAGCATATATTTTTAAACTTTTACCTTAAAAGCTTTTGACTTCAGATTTAACATGAACATATAAGTGATTCTGCTTGTTCTGTTATGCTAATGTGTTCATTTATGTTAGCTTCATTCATGTTTTCTGAGATCATTTTTGTTCATCTCAAATATTTTGGTAAAATTCAGAAAATAATTACAAAGAATACTATATCCATTTAAAAAATGTATTTTTTCCCTTTTGAATACAAATAAAGTTGTCAAAATGGATTTATGCCTTTTTTTTCTCATCCATTCCAGCTCTAAACTTTTTACACTTAATCTCACTTTGTGAATAGACTTTCTTCAGGATAATTATAATTGACATGTTAACTCTAAAACATAAAACACAATCGCCATTTAGTTTAATATTTGCAGCTCTATCTATCTTTGTTAAAAATTTGTAAAGCAGCATAATCCCTACCAGACAAAAACATGATCAACATAAGATTATTTAATGACTTGGTTTGAACAGCCACAGATGTTAGATTTTTTTAGTGGAGAATTTGTCTTAAATTCGCAAAAGTCTACCTTAAAAATATAAATGTTAAGTATTTAAACAATCGAGTTACGATTTTGAGTAAAACATTTGTTTCATCTTGATTTAAAGACACGTTTGTGTTTTTATCTAATGCAACTATCTTTTTAGTTAGGTGTAGATTTTATATCTCACTTGGAGGTTTCATCTCAACAAACAAAAAGTAGTTATTTTTCTTTCATTAAAGGAAAATTAAAATGATATCAGGATCTCAGAAGAGCAGGTGAAAACATCCACTTTTAGTCACATTCACTGTTTGTGATTCAAAAATACAATTAAGTCAGAAATAAATATTTTTCCTTTATCAATATAAGATGTTTCTAAAACGTCATTAACTGCTCCATGGTTGCTTTATTTGCTCCTGAAGTTTTTTTGAGGGGTGTGCTGTTTGTGGGGGCTGGCAGGAAGTCCCCATCTGCGTGAGAAGCGAGGGTGTGTGTGTGTGTGAGAGAGAGAGAGAGAGAGAGAGAGAGAGAGAGAGAGAGAGAGAGAGAGAGAGAGAGAGAGAGAGAGAGAGAGAGAGAGAGAGAGACAGAGAGAGAGAGAGAGAGAGAGAGAGAGAGAGAGAGAGAGAGAGAGAGAGAGAGAGAGAGAGAGAGAAAGGGAGGGAACATGAGGAACAGCCTCCGCGCCGGAGTGAGGAGGAGGACTACCCCGTGCCAGAACCTGTGGTATGCGTGTGCGCAGCGCGGCGCAGCGGTAGCTCGCACTGGAGGAAATCTACTGAGAAAGACTTGGTGCGCAAGTTCAGGATTTAAAATTCATCACAGATAACCGCTGAAAGAGGCGAAGGGAGCGCCGGTTTGGGGCACAAAGTGGGTCCAGTGGAGCGCCTCAGATCACATTCCAGCAGGAGAAATGCGCCTCTCAGTCCGCACTGAGCCTGTATGACGGGCAGGGGACTCTTTGGACTTTCTCATTCTGTTTCAGCAGCTAGAAGAATCAAAAGAGTGGAAAAAGAACAAGGAAGACGTGTCTGGGATAACTTTAGAAGGTGAGTCACGTTGGGCGAACAATTTCAGGTAAATCATTAATTTAAATCAGGCTGTTCTTAAAGGAAACGTCTCACTTTTTTCACCTGGAGGAATGTGTAACTTTCTTATTGGCTCCTGATTTGGAAGGTTGCTCATTTATTCTATGAGCAAAACAGGTCACTACTCTTTGTATTTACTTTGGCCCACACCAGTGGTGGGTGTGTGGGTGTGCGCGCGCAAGCTCTGCTTGTTTTCAATCAGTTCTGTGTGAGGACAGAGAATGTAGTCTTTCAAACTAACTAAGAACTGATCTTGTGTGTGTGTGTGTGTGTGTGTGTGTGTGTGTGTGTGTGTGTGTGTGTGTGTGTGTGTGTGTGTGTGTGTGCTTACTTTGGATAAGTGTTACTGAAGGCCTTTACAGTGAACTCCATGCAGCATGACTGGATCTTGTATTCTTTTTTTTTAACTTAAAGGCCCTCCTTGGAGAATTGTGTCTTTGTAGAAGCTATAATTTGGGTTTTCTTGGTGTTCTGGTGTTTTGGTGGACGATACCTTTTTATAATATGAAACACATAACCATGCTCGTGAATGACTTGCATCCAAAAATAAAAAAAGATTAAAACCTAAAATAAATGTTGGCCACACAAGGACCTTTGTTTTTTTTTCTCCCAGTCAGAAAATAATAGTCACAAAACACTATTTATTGTTACTCTTTTTTTTTTTTTTTTGGTTTGAGCTACAGCTGCTTTGCGGTATTTGTACCCTCGAGGCTTTCGCTTCTCTCAGGCAGCCATTGTTGATGACTTGTACAAGTGTGCTTACATCAGTGCAGACCCAGTCTTCCTCACCTGGATATCAGACACACACCTGCATCCACACCCTCCTGCACACCTTTCCTTTCAACCGACATAAACCACGCGGGCTGTTCTGAGCCGTTTTGCAGGCTGAATGCTTTCAAGATTTCCTCTAATTACAGACCACGAAAAACAAGAGAAACTTTTTTTTAAACTGACAATTATAGTTTTTTTGTTGCTGGTTCTTTCTGAGTCACACGAACAAATTCTTTCTCCTCGGAACAAAATAAACATGTCAGTATTTTCCTTAAGGATCCCAAGCAATAGTTGCAAATGGCGGAGGGTTGGGGTTGTGTACTGTAAACATAACACTGTGTTTGCAGCAAAGGACAGAGGACGGAGGCATTTCACTTTGTCGCAGCACTGCTGCCTTTTGGGTGACATGTGTAAGTCATTAAAGGAGCAGAGATCTAGACGAGGAAGGAGAATGAAAGCAGTTACAGGGCATGGACGGCAAGAAAGAGGGGAAAAGAGAACGGCAGAGCACAAGTAGGAACATAATCCATTTTGGAACGCATTCCACTATGACCTTGGGATAGAAAATGGTAATTAGGGAGCACTTTGGAAGCTTTCAGACTCCACAAATCTGGACAGAGTTGGTACGGTCATTTTTAGTCAAAAGATCTCATGAAAATGTGAGACAAAAATGCACTAGAGTAGAGTTTCAGTGTTGGGTAATAAACCAGCTAAAAATACCCCACACCCACTTTTCCGTCTTGTTTTCTTTTTCCCCAATAGCTCTCGTGGCTTGTTTATTTCAGCTCCTCAAGCGTGAATGGGTGTCAAAGCCGCAGCATAAACATACAGAGCCCCTGACAGGAAAAAGGCCAGAACAAACTGTGGCCTTGTCCCTCTCTGTGCTTTAAAATCAGCTCATCGTGTCGCTGTGGACATAATGAAACGCACAGCCCTGCTGAAACAGGTTTGGAATGGATAAAACAGATTTCCTGTTTACTAGATGGCTGTTAGATGTGAATGAAAACTGCAAAAATATTTAATTAGAATGAAAAAAATATTTAGGAATACAACTTGTAACCTGATGCTTTATGGCGTTTGCAGCACATAAAGTGTAACTCGGATTCACAAACAACTCAGATCATTTTTCTGTCCAGACTCCCCCAAAAAGAAAGGACTGACCTCCTTTTTCTAAACCTGCAAAGCAGATGCATCGTCTGCTTGCAGAGAAGTACCACCCAGCTGTGACTGAACCTGTGCTACAACAGAAAAAAAGAGGCTTTAAGATCATGTTGGGACACGGATGGATGGGAGTCGTTGCCCCATTCATAAAAGCGACCCACTAGATGTTTGTTTTTTAGTGTTGTAAGGGGTTGGACAACTTTCATTAATTCCATGTGCATGGAGGCACCTTATTTATCTATTTTTCCGTTGTTTTATCCTCTCATCTCATGTGATCTTTTACAGATTTGCTAAAATTTCAGTTTCCAGATTGTCTGATTGACGACAACGATGAGCTAACACCCTTAATGTCCCACCTCAGATTTCAGAACCTCCTCAAGCTTCTCCTGCTTGCACCTGGTTAGAGATTCCTTGTGTCTAAAGGGAACATTTTTCTCTCCATCACCATCCCATTTGGAATGTTTGATTCAATTAAATTCTTTATGCTATTCAGCGTATCTGAAAGAAAGGCATTTGCAAGAAGTTCCAGGGAATGGTCATGCCTGTGTAAACGTGGCCGACATCACCGACACAGCTCAGTCAAGCACTTACCTGCAGGGGCTGAAGCTGGTGGGGAGGCAGACACACCCTAATCCCCCCAACATCCTGACCTTAGCAAACCTGTTGGAGCTTGCTCCCCACAGTACCCAGCAACCTCTGCATGTACTCGACACCTCTGCCAGCCTCGCGCTCACTACCATGGGTGGGCTCTGCATTTGAGAATGTTGCCGCTGCTTACTCTGTCTTTGTGAGCTAATGCCGTGTCTCAGAACCACACAGGAACAAAAGCAGTCAGTGCTAATTAAATACCAATTATTTCAAGTGCGTGCTGGGGCAGGTTGGTGATGTTGAGTGGGAGAAATGGGAGGGTGCGGTAGAAAAAATGAGTTTGATGACTGCAGGGCTGAATATGAATGACATGTAAAATGTATGTGTATTACCGGTACTGTTCTTATTATCAGGACCCTTTTGCTGGAATTATGCTAGGGACTGGGACAAACCCTCCTCTTAATGTAGACCTCAGTTGACTGTTGTTAACGCAAATACATGAAAGAAAGGAACTTGTGCTTACAGATACAAAACAGTGCATTCCTAGTATGCTTCATAGGGGTTTGGGCGACTGCCTACCATACCCAAACTTCTAGATACATTATATTAGTATACATGTCTTTTGAAGTGAGTCACTGTTGGCTTCCTAATATTTCATCTATGTAGAACAGTGGTTCCACAGTTTAATTGTCTTTGACTTCATATATTAATGGTTAAACTTACAAACAAACACTGTAAAAAAGCCAAATAAACAAGAGTATCATAAAAATACATGCAGGGTAGCAGAAGATTTTAACACACTCAAAAATGAGATAAATATACTCAGAGTCGCATGAGCTGGCTTTGCATTACAAAGTTGTGTATTTTTTAATAAGATATTTCTAAAAGCTTCTCTGGAAATTCTGAATCTATTCTTTACTTTGGATTTGAAGATATCTGATCAGAAAATGTTTTTAAAAAATGAGGAAATGTTTTTAACAAAGTCCTTCTCTTAAAGTTTTTAGTTAAAAAAAAATAAAGACATGAATTCAAATAGAGCTAATTTGTAGTCTAAGGGATGGATTTCAATAATTAAACATAGAGATTGTTTGGTTTACAAAAGTGTGGGTATTTCTTTTCAAATATTTATTTATTTTAAACTGAATCATTACAATCACAGTCTTAAAGCATTAAACAGTCTGATTGAAGTCTGATTCCCAGACTTCTTGATGTGTTTTGTGTTGTCTGAGTCATTTAGCTCTTTTGTAACATCCTGCAAACCTGTGAATGGATTTGAATCTGGAAAGTTTGGCAGCTGTGTGAGAAACTGGAGTAGTTGTGTTATAGTGAAAACGGGCTGCTGTAACGGAACATGCTCCTTCATCTATAGTTAAAGGTCATCTTTACTCATATGTTTAATACATTCGCAGTGGTCTCTAGTAGGTGTAAATTAGTGATGCACCGATATGAAATTTTTGGGCCAATACCGATATCCGATATTGAGATCACTGTTATGGCCGATAACCGATATTTGCCGATACTGATATACTGACATTAATTATTCTAAAATCAGCAGATTTTCTATAGAATAAAAATGATCAAAACTGAATTTACGTTATTATGTACACACAACACACACATTTACAGTTCTGAGATTATTTGATGCACTGTTCACATGACTAAATAATTGCACATACCCCCCCCCCCCCCCCTCTGAAACAGGCAAACAAATGGAGATGAGATGGAAAAAATATTGGTTGTTAATATCGGCCCATTTTTTTTATTGAACCAATACCGATATGTTAAAAAATGACTAACATCAGCCGATATTGATGCTGATCTATTGTACATCCCTATTATAAATGCCTTGTAAGTCATACTCTGGGAGGAAAAAAAGCTTCAAGGTGCCCATTCTAGGATGGAGAAGTCAGCTGGAGAAGAGAGCGCCAGAACACAGGATGATTTGAAGTCTTATTTTCTGATATTTTAATATCTTCCTTCTGATTGGATAGCAGCAACATAACTCTACCACTGACTCTGTTTGCTCTATGATGTTGATGTTTAATTTCCACAAAAAAAACAAAAGCCTGAAGGAGTTCTGCTGTATGGTGGAGTTGCTAATGCTAACAGTTAGCTTCTACTAGTCGAGACATACTCTGCTGTTTCCTGAACGCTAAATAAAAACAGTCTTCCCTATCACGAGTCAAGATGAGTCCATAAATGTTAAGTGACAGTGTGAAGTAGATTTGTCAGGCTTTTCAAATCTGATTAACCGATTATAATCATAAATAATAATTTGAAAAAATATTTTTTCAGTGAAGTTGACCTTTAGTATTGTAGGGGTGGGTTGTTTGTGCAACATCACATAAATTCCCATCAAAAGCAAAATAAAAAATAGCAAGCATGCTCAACAGAATGCAGCACTGTGACAAGATACGAGTGCTGCTCACGTCTCCTAGTTGTCTTAATGTGGTTTTTTTAAATAACCTTTTAAAAATAAAATGTATTGCTGTGAGATTTTCAGTCGGTAGGGATCCAATCCTGCTTTTCGAATCTGAGCAACAACTTGCTTTTCTCCAGCTGACAGACATTGAAGCAGTGCAGCAAAGACCAAGATTAAAAGGGCGTAAAAGATGTGACAGTTGGGGGTGTGGTGAGGCACCAGTAAGGGGGGTGAGGCAGGAAGTTCATGACCATGAGGTCACAGGGACAAGCTGCCACGCAGGGATTTAAAACAACTGGTTTCAGCTGGACCTCGTCTGTTTTCTTTTTCTTTCTTTGTCATCGTTGCTCGACCGGACCATCTGTGCAACCAGATTGTTGGTGTCCGAGCTTTTAACTCTCTTCTTTTTTCACGGCCCAGATAAGTAATACTCATCTTCCATGTTCTAAAACGTCCCTGTTTTGTTTCAGCCAGTACAGTATGTGGGACACATGCTGTTGGCCGTTACTGTGCAAACAAGACGTCCTTTATCTTACAATCTCAAGCTGAAGTCATTCCCTAAAGATATCTGTGGAAAACCTGCAAAGAATGACTAAACCTGAGGACTTTGACCTCCAAATATTGACTTAAGTAAAGTCGCCTGCTCAAAATAGTGATGGTGTAACACAATCGAACCGACCTTATTACTTTTCCTCACGTCTGCTCTGATTTCACTTTAACAGGACCGATCCACGATGGAAGAGGGTTATGAGCTGGACCTCACGTACATCACAGAACGGATCATCGCTGTCTCCTTCCCTCGAGGTTGCTCCGAGGAGATCTACTCCCACAACCTGAAGGACGTCACGCGGATGCTCAAGTCCAAGCATGCTGATAATTACCTGGTCAGTGCTGATTCTCCCTGTCTGGTCCTCAAAATGTGCTGAAGTCAGATGTCAGGGTGCTCTGATGTGAACTGTGATGGGGCTTTCGCCAGATGTTGACATGAAGAGATTGATGTCAGCTTGAGTCTTGAGCAGTAGAGAGCAGAGGGGTCATTTAAAGTCATGTTGTGTTTTCTGTAGACTATTAACCTGTCAGAGAAAAGGCACGATCTCTCCAGAATGAATCCTAAGGTAAGATTATTTTCTTTTTTTTAATTAATTTTCTGAAAATACAAGCAGTATCCCAAATACATTATTTTGTATTTTTAACTGAGTTGTAGAGATTATAACACGTGAATGTTTTTTATCTATAGACACTGGACACAGGGTGGCCAGACATGCACGCTCCTCCTCTCGATAAGATCTGCACCATATGTAAGGCCATGGAGAGCTGGCTCAACGCCGACCCGCTACATGTGGTTGTTATACACTGCAGGGTGAGCATCCATGCTGGGGTGTTGTGTGTGGTTTTGGGGTTACAGATATAATCTCGTTTCATATGTTTATATGAAATTAAATATTCTGCTTTACAATTGTTTTGGCATCTAGGCAACCTCCTTTCACTGTTAATTAAATCTGGAATAAATCTCATATGTTCATATTCATTACATGTTTATGGTCAAAAATAAAAAAAATGTTTTACAGGAGCGATGAGCTAACGGCTAGTCTAAGTGCAACCTGGACCAAGATATGTTGCTCCTGCTGTTAAATAGCTCCAATTTCCAATGTTTTATATTGGTTCAAGTGACGTTTTTTAGTATTTTCACTGCATTTATTTATTATAAAAAAATGTTTTCTTGAGAAATTTAATAACTACAAAAAGTCAACCCCAGGGAAAATTAGAAGGGCTGCATTAGTTGCTGCTAGTGATAATTCCAAATACAAATAATAATTAAACTTTATTTATCTCAAGTGAAACCATTCAGGAAAATTTCTACAACATTTGATAACAAAAACATTTTTTTATTTCTTGACACAATCTTGACTTAAATTGTCAGACACTTGTAGTCTGTAGTAACATCATACATGAAACAATCATAGAGTTAAAGGTAATCTTAATTCACCTCAAAATACTTAAGGTAGCAGAAAAATTGGCCTCCTGGCAGAAACTTTCAGTGAGACCAGACGTAAATTACTCGGTTCATCATGAGTTCAGCTGTTTGGTTTCCTCATTATGAATTACAACAGGGACTTTGAGTCCAATGTTGGACTCCAAAGACTGAATAAAATATCTTCAGTTATGTTATTGCTGATCCTGACAGTGTTAGAAACTCTCCCCGCAGCTTTTAATGTGCATCTTAGATGCGTCAATCTCTTTGCAGGAATATGAAAATATGCCTTTTTCAACTTTTCTAAAGCATTTTTAAAAATTAATAGATTAGAGTAAATAACTCCACTGAAAAAGCATTTTTAAATTATTGTTTCTGATTATAATCGGTCACTCGTGCAGGCTGAACATGAAAATTGTCTCCTACACCTATCTCCTGCATTAGCTTCTGATAGAAAATAGACGGTAAAACTCTAGGATTAGTAAAGCCTGACAGTGTGACATCACACTGTCACTTCACATTCATGGACTCGCCCATCTTGACTTACGATGGGGAAGGCTGTTGTTAGTTTAGGGACCAGAAACAACAGAGAACGTCTCAGCTAGTAGAAGCTAACTGTTAGGATTAGCAACTCCACAGCACGGCAGAACTCCTTCAGGCTTCAGTTATTTGTGGAGATAAAACATCAAGGTTGCAAAGCAGAGTCAGTGGTAGAGTCACGTTAGCCAATCCGAGGCGAGATGTCCAAATAACAGGAAATAGGAATCCTGCCGTGTTCAGCTCACCTCTTATCCGACACTCTTTTAGTTACTAAAATAAGCGCACCGGAGCTTTTTTTCCCCCAGAGTATCGCTTACAAGGCATTCATTCTTACAAGAGACCACTGCAAATGTACTTAAAATATGAATAAAGGAGACCTTTAAGCTGTTTCATGTCTTTAAAATAGACCAAAACCACCATATGTGCTGAATCTGTGGCGTCTTGTTTTTGTTGGTTTGTTTAGGGTGGAAAGGGTCGGATTGGTGTCGTCATTTCATCCTTTGTGCATTTCACTGATGCATCAGCCAGGTAATCACCACCACCACCACTGTTCTCATGTTACCTCATACCTCATACCTCATTATCATCTTTATATGGGTCTGGGTCATGGGAACAGCAGCATTAATAGAGAGGTCTAGATTGACTTCTCCACCAGAAACCTCCACTAGTTGCTCTGGTGCGACCCCAAGGTGTTCCCAGGCCAGTCTAGAGACGTAATCTTTCCAAATATGATGCAGCTGAGATGAGGAGCCACATCTCCAAATCTGACGGATGGAACAGCAGCTGATAGGCCTTTTCTGGTGAATGAGCAAGAGAGCAAATTTCTTAATATTCCAGTTGATTTGTGTTCCAAGCTTCACTTATGGTCATGAGCTTTGAGGAATGACCAAAACAACCAAATGCTTTTCCAATTTTCTGAAGCCGATTTTTCACAATGAGGCAGCACCTACTCACCGTTCTCAAAGACATGTTGTAGACCTCAAGCTGCGTCTCTACTCAGCCACAGGTGACATATTCACCTCCTTTAATCTCTGAGGGAAGATGATTCAGAAACGAGTTGACCAAAAATGTTCCCTCTTTCAGATCCAAAGGAGAACCTTGGGATTTAGGCATCGATGCATGAATCAACCTCATGTTTGTGACTTCCAGATCCTCCGAGCACAGTGTTAGGTTCAGGAATTCTCAATGCGTTCTTCCCACCAACCATTAAAACATGGATGTTTACACTGCCTGGGGCTCATATTAGCTTTTGATTTAGACTTTCTTTTAATATGTAAAGTACTTGTTTCCAAGTGAGGGGGACCGGCTCAGCAGAGTGAATTTGAAAGAGAGTGCAGAAAGAGGAAGAGATGGGAAAACAAAAAGGCAGATTTCCAGCTCTGGTGAAAAGGCTGCAGCTTCTGTTGGTTTTAGATGTGTCTGAACATCTAAGCTGTGCACACACTCTGTCCCCTCTGTGTTTACTTAAGGCTGGCATTCTCTTCCTCTCTGCTGGAATCGTCTTGCCTCTCTCTATAGTTACTTTCCCTCTTGTCAGTGATGTCTGGATTCACATGTGTGTGTTTGTGTGTGTGGATGTCAATTACAGTTCAGAGTATAATCTCCCTTTGAGTCATAATTACCACAAGTGTTTAGCCCGTCTTTCTGTCTCCCTCAAAGTGCTGATCAGGCGTTGGACCGCTTCGCCATGAGGAAATACTACGACGATAAGGTCTCCGCTTTGATGACGCCGTCACAGAAACGGTGAGAACCCAAACAAAATCACGCCCTTCTATTCAGGAGCGTCTTCAAGTTGCAACCAAATATGTTTCTGACCCGCCCTTTCTGTGAAAAATATTCCGTGTTCTGGTCCTGATTGTCTGTTTTTGAGCTGAAGGCCCACCATTGTTAATGAGAATGGGATCTGATGGTGACCCAGTGTAATCCTAAACCTGTATGATTCATCATCACTCACTCTGATGGGTAGAACTGGTTACTCCATGCAGTCTGCCTTCGTGTTTGTAGAAACAGTCAGCGATGACGATGGTTACTGATCCATAGAGGTGCCAGAAAGAGGATTTTAGTGTAACCGGCATCCCCTGCTTTTTTTTTTCTTGCAGTCTTTCTACAAAAGGCTTGCATTTAGCATAAAGCACAAGATTGATTTCTTTATTCTGCAAAATTGGAACAACAAAGACAAACTGTTGCAACATCAAGAAATCAGCTTTTGGATATTTTTTTTTCATATTCAGCACTTTTTAATTCCACTTCTTTAAATAATCATGTTTTTCCTTTTATGTTTACTTGAAATCAAGTTGAAGTAAAAACAAATATCCAAAGTAAACAACTGGAGGACTTAAACAGCACTCAGTTTGGGGGTGACAGTAAGTGGAGTGGGTTGTTTGTGTGTCCGCAGTTCTTTCACCTCCATCAGCACTGAGGTGCAAATGACTGAATAAGTAAAACCAAGCTGAAGTTAATGGGTGCTGCATCAACACAGTCCATTTAGCGTTTACTTCCTCTTGTTGTCACCACAGTATAATGATCTCCACTCTGATTCTGGTAAAAACTTAAACAAATTCATCTTTGTGCGATCATTGAGATTTCAACATTAGGGATGTGTATTGGTGAAATTCTGGCGATACGATCCATATCACGATACGGGGAGACAAGATGAAATACCACGATTTATTGCGATACATTCAGCCAGACCATATTAGTGATTTTTTTTCGGACTGAATTAATTGTAGGAAAATTCAATAAACAGTCCAAACTGATAGGTAACATGTTTAACATGATGTATCTGAACCATAATAGAGGGATTTACATTTCAGTGGTGGAAACAAAACATATTGCACACTGCTGCCAACTAGTGGTCGGTGTTTGAATTGCACCAATCGATAAGAAAATACACAAATGCTTGCATGTAAATTCTTCCAAATGTTCGATACATGGCTTTTGAATATCTATTTAATATTGCTGGCAGAAAATTATGATATATTGTCATATTGATATTTTCTTACATCCCTATTCAACATATTGTTTCAGGTCTTGTTGACATCCAGCTTGATAATAGGACAATGAAAAAGTTAAACATTTTCTGGTAAATTATTAGATTTTATTTTGAAAGTATTATTTCTAGTTAAGCCGTATATGTGTTGGAAAGAAGACATCGATCCTAAAAGGATTGTAGGAGCACTGAACAATATTGTGTTTGACGATGTGTGTGCCTTGTTTTAGCTGGAACTAAGGAAAGTAAATTATTAAGAAACTTTTGATCTTCAAATTTTTGAATCAGCATTTTTTTCTAGATAGACTTGACATTTTGAAATTCAAATTTTTTGCACTCATCCTTTACTTTTCAAAAGTGCTTCAAAATGGAACAGATATTGGATCTGATGCCAACAAATAAATAAAAATATGACTTCAATCAAACCCTTAAATTTCCAGGTTTAATGAACACAATGGGGGTTGTCCCATGGGCGGGACGCTGGAATTCTTAAGGGGTTAATAAATAAAAGCATATATAATTTAGTTGTTTCTATACATTAGGTGTGATGGAGTCACACTTTAGGCAAAAATGTGTTTAAAAACTACGTTCAGATTTTTTTTGTTTTGTATAATAAATATGAGAGAAATACATTTTTAAATGTATACATCTAATACAATATATATGTATGTAATTAATAGTATTTTGTTTAAATTGATGGAATGTTGGATTAAGAATTAACTGAAAGTGTGAAAGAATCATCTCCATTTTTGTATTTTTAAACAATCAACTGCACTATATCAAACACACGATGAGTCTGTAAATGAAAGTCAGTAAATACAGACTACGGGTAGAATGATATATCGGTTGGCTGACGTATTGAGTCGATGTTTAACTTTTTTATATATATCGGCACTGGCCGCTTTAGTAAAGCCGATATAAGTTGGGCACATCCTCGGGCAGCCCGGTGCTCCTGCAAAATTTTATTTAAATTAATTTTTACATTCACTAATAACATCTGCATAATAAATACTCAAAATTAACTTTATTTAGATGTCTGGCTTTAACACTGAGCAGTGCAAAAATAAGATTTCTCTGTTAAATTCAGAGTTGAAAAACTGAGTTAGTTTAGGAAATTTTGTGCATCAACTGATGTCATTAACGACATTTTAGCATGAAAATAAGGTGGAAAATGTCTAGATATAGGCCATGAAAATTGGCTCCAAAAATTGGTAGTACATTTCGACCATTGGCTGACCATTGGCTCCTACATATATTGGCAATGGAAAAAACAACATCTGTTGACCTCTAATGCAGACCAAAGTAAGCAATAAAAACCTGACTGATGGAAAGCAGAGACATCCCTGGATAAATAAATCAATGTTTGTGACCAAAGTCAAAGAAATCATATGATGAGAGCAAGGTTTAGATAGAGAAATGGAGAAAAACAGGAAAACAATGAGCTAAACAGAAGCAGTCATGGACTTTATGCGAGGATGAGTCATGAATCTGTGTTTTGTCAAGAGATGACGACAGAACAGTTTGGTTTAAGTCAAATGAAGTAAAGATTACTGTTCAACATGAGCCCATTTGTATCGTGTGGCAGATGAAGAACCACGGAAGCTATCATAAATACACACATGAATAAGAGATCTTTTTGAACATTACACTATAAAAAATGAAATGTTGAATTTAAAGGCATACTATGCAACTTTTTCATATTTTTAAAGGTGCATTGTGTAGAAATGAAGTAAAAAGGACATCCTGTGGTAAAATGTGGTTATTGTAACCATTTCTATCAACTCTGGAGCTTTTTACCGGTGCTGCAGTATTAGCTCGCAGGAGACACGGTAACCCCACATTCACTGATGGTAAACAGTAGTTACATCCCTCCTTCCTTTATTTTGATCCGTGCAGCCAGCTGGATATGAAATATTTTTCAATATAACCTTCCTTCCAAAATGACTGAAACATTAGACTATTTTGAAAAGTTCTCACTGTATAATTCTCACTCTATTCTTACATACTGCACCTTTAAAAACAATTTCTTGAGCCAGTATGTGCTAAAATGACCCTTTACATGGTTAATGAAAAGCCACTCAGTCCGAGCCTCCCCCTGTGGCCATAATTGTGTACTTGCAACTTCAGAGTATCCAGACCTGTCTTTGTTAATCAATAGTAATAGCGCTGAAGTCTGCTTCCAGCATGTTTTAGATCGTGAACACAGCTGATTTGTTTGAATTGCTCCTGTAGAAACTAATGAAGGCTGAGGAGACATTTCAGCAGTTAGATTAAGGTGTTAAAAAGTCTCAGTCTTTACATTTATGCAGCTAGTCAAATCAGTTGATATAACTTGGTTAATTAAATTGAGCACTTAATTTCTTAGAGTGTATGTTGAACACTACATCTACATTTGTGGTGAAAACTGTAAACATTGTAGACATGACTATAATGTTCAAAAACAAAACATCAAATATATAATTTCCAGGATTTTCATCCAAACATTTAAATTATTTATATATTTAGTCGTGTAAACATTTAGCATATGTGATACGCAACCCTGCAGCTGTGGAGTAACTGTTGTTGTCTCATAAAAACAATTATGTTTGAGCTAATTAGACCTTGAAGCAGTGGCTTATTAGATCAGACCTTAAATGGTATTAAATTAAACATTTAAACCAGATGCCTACAAATGAACACACACCTCTTAAACACATCCATTAAACATCTAATTACTCAGTGAGGAAAAAGTCAGAAAGATTTTTGTTAAGGATTAGTTGTGTAAGTCGTGTAACCTGATCTTCATGTTTTTGTGTGTGTTTAAATATTTGCAACAGTCCTGTTAAATGTTAACGTTTACATGTCCACCCCCCTGTCAGGTACGTATGGATCCTCAACAGTTTGCTGAGTGGATCCATGAAGATCAATGCCTCTCCTTTGTTCCTGCACTGCGTCATCCTTCACGGGCTACCAAACTTCGACGCCGCCACCAGAGGTTAAACTCACCACAACACACAGCTGCCAGTTTCAATGAATTATAAAAAAGGAGGGTTAAACACAACCGCATCAGAGCTGGAGTCTTACATGAACTTTAACTCTTTTTTTTTAAACACTCACTTGTACTGTCAGGCAAACGGGGTTGAAATAAGTCATGGGAATTTCTATGAAAATGTGGTAAATTACTGTTTGCGCTCATTTGATTGAATCAACAAAAGTTGACGTCACATCATGGAGTGAAAACCCCATTCTCACATGAGTGAACATCCAGGAAGATGAGTAGTTTTAATCTTTTTCTCCCCTTTTCTCCTTTCTTGTTGTTTCCAGTGTGTCGCCCATACATCAAGGTCTACCAAGGAATGCAGGCCGTGTACTCATCTGGAGTCTAGTGAGTAGCACATGTGGTTCACGTACTTCAAAGGACATTGTAATACTTAAAAGCAGACTTCTGTTTAAATTAGCCTGTTAATTTGGATTCGGAGTCACTGCTGTGTTCGTTTCCTCGCTGCGGCTCACTTTGACTGTATGTGTTTTAGCCACGTCGGTGCAGGCCACAGAGACCGTGTTTGCATCATTCTGGAGCCGGCCCAACTCCTGAAGGGGGACATCATGGTAGGAAATAAATATTCCTAGAACAAAGTGACATCGCACCGAGACTGCAGCGTGTTTTATTTGTGTGTTTTTTCTAGGTCAAATGCTATCACAAAAGTGATGTCACTTCGGAGCGTGAGGTGATTTTCCGGCTGCAGTTCCACACAGGAGCGGTGCAGGGTTACAACCTGATGTTTGACAAAGAAGACATGGAGAGTGCTAACAAAGGTACACCTGGAGAAAAAACATATGGATTTCAGAGCAGGCCTCAACTTGCATCTATCAGTGAGCTTCTCTTAGCATCAGTCTGGACTCAGTTTAGGAATTGCCCAGAAATCTTGTTTTCCCAAACATGTTGCATGTACGGGGAGAAAATCCACATTCATGGTGTTCCTGTGTGTGTGCTGCTGTTTCAGATCCCAGATTTCCCAGCTATGGGAAAGTTAAGCTCATCTTCTCTGAGGGACCAGAGAGGATACCAGGTAGATTTTTTTAACTTTTCAAATTTAATACAATTCAATTGTGTTGAGAAGAGGTGGTTGGAAAAGAAGGACTTTGTCCTATTTTCATGTTGGTTTTCGTACTTCCCCCTCTTGCCTCCTGGTGGGAGGCGATGTGGAATGCGGCAGAAGGGAAATGTAGTGTGAAGTGTGTGCTGACAGAGGGGTAAAGAGGCACAGCATGTGCTGCCCCAGAACCCCACATGAGTCAAACTATGTGGCTCTGTAGGATTTTATTGGGTGTTATATGTGCATCTGTGCACACTGCAGATCCTCTATATTCTGGTAACTTAATAAATGATCTAATTATTATTGAACATTTTGGTCTGCTGAAAATGACGAATTACCATTTCTTTTGCTGAGAGTTTAATGCAAACATTTTATTGAGACTTCACTAAAAACGGGATTTCTTTGGCCATTTAGAAGGGTATTTTTTGTATTAAAATTATTAATAATTACTGTCTAATTCATTGTAGATACCAGGGAGAACAAGTTGTATCAAGCCTTCATGGTACACACAGAAGGGACTGGCACAGATAACCAGATGATGAGAAAATTAGTCACAGCCACCTCTGCCATCTTGAATCTGGTTTTGATTTTTCAAAATAAAACAATTGTTTGCAAATGGTCATGACAAAAGAAAATGGGGATTAATGGCTGTTAGCGGCTGAGTAAGAGGCAGATGTATGATAAGCTGTATGGGTCATAGCTTGTGCACTTTTAAACACCCTCTGGTGACACAATTAAACCCTGGAGAAATGTGTAAATGCCACCTATTAAAAACACCAAAAGTTATCATTTTACTTTTTTTCCCATACGTAGCAAACAATGAACCTTAAATTTCAGTTACACCCCTTGCAGATAGATTACTGATCAGCCTCTGTTTAGTGAAACAGAGTTTACATCCTACATGACTGATAAGCTAAAGGCTAGTACAGTCAAGACCAGAGCTTACCAAAGCTACAAAGGCAAATCAGCAAAACAAGCCAGCTTAAAACTATTTTTAATGCCTCTTAACAATGTTCAAGCATAGTAAACCCTGGAGAAATGTATAAATGCCCCCAATATAGCTATACATATTTTGTGGAGATGAAAAAAAATTGAAGAAAATGAATAAAGTGTTTCTTCCGCATTTGTCTAGAAACCTCAACCACTAACACGGCTCGGTCCAAAACCAACGATTGGACCATCCAGTTGTCTGTCTCGCCGAACCATAGCACTTCCGCATTTCCCTGGCTCCTCCACTCATTACACGCGCTCATATTTAGCAACAGAACACCACAGGTGTGAGAGGTTCACAAAATCATAATATCAGAGAAGGAGAAACAGCTGGCTGCTACCACTTCAACTTTAGGACAAACTACCAGAGTCCAAAAAAGAAAAACGGCATTTGAAGTCACAGACAACAAAAAACGTTTGGACTTAGAAAAGTTTGACTGGTGTTTAGCGCTATCTTGTTTACTCTGGCAACGCGGGCTCCTGTATCAGGGGGCGTGGCCTAGGAATGATAGCTGATAGAAGGTGTGAGAGTTCCATGACCGTGATTGTGTTTCAAAGCCAGCTTGTTTTGCCTATTTACTGTTGCAGCTTTAGGTACTATTGTCACGTTTTCATGGTTTTTATACAGTAACATGATCTATATACATTTTTTTTCCAGGTGCTGACCTGTGGCAGAATGGCCCTGATGTTGTTGTGGATTACAACACAACAGATCCTCTGACCCGCTGGGACTCGTACCAGAACATCTGCGACGGTGAAGGTACAATTGATGCGCCACATCAGATGCAGCATGACTCATGAAGGCTTTGTTACAACAACGCCGAGGTCTAAATGATGACTCAGACTTTGTTTGAACACAAACAGTTGACTAAAAAACAGCAGACCTTTAGCAGTTTCCCACCTTAAGGCTCTTTCTTTCTTTTTCTCTCCCTCTCTTTTTTATTTCACAAACAATTAACACATGGCGACAGGTCCTGTGGGACGTTCTTGATGCCTGTAACAAAAGCTGATGGACTTTACTTACAAGTGCAACTTAAAACTCAGGCAGTGCTATGGTGAGACACGAAACGGGAGGCTCCCATTTACCTCAGTGCGCAGCAAGTGCTGTTTCTAAGTACAGAGGAGTGTTGTTTTATGTGAGGAATGCTGGGTTCAGAGGAAGAGCAGATAGTTCTCAGGAGATTTCCGTTTTCTCCAACTCTTGAAAATAAATAGGCATGCTTTTAGCCTTCCCACACCAATATACACTCTCACTAGTGCCCACACACAAACACACACAGGCACACACACACACACACACTTATACTTAAAGTCAGAGCCACCCTGTTAGGGCGTCCCGTTCTCGCTGCGGTTGTTTCTCTCCACCGAACCACAGAATTGACAACAACCTCTCAGAATAGAGCATCCCAGTGGCAGCACAAAAACACAAATCCACCCTTTTCCAGTTTTCATTGAGTGTTTTTATTGGCTAAGCTCTGCTTGATGAGAACAAACTGCCTTTTTAAAAATGTATTTTTATTTAAAATCACCCGACTCATCCACTCAGAAGTTTGTGTCTATTAAAACGACAGCACAACCGCTTCATTTTAGCTACCCATCAAAGGAAAGCTTCAACAGCAACCAAATCCAGCTCCTTTTAAATGTCGATTCCAAACCATTCATGTGGGATGTTTACTGCTTTGTTTTCTCATGTAAACACTACATATAAGAGGAAGGACTGGAAGCTTTGATGAAATTCTACATCTACTTACCAGCAGTCTTCCCGCAGGCCCAGTTTGCTTCGAGCAGACCACCTCGTCTCGTTAGGAAGGAAGACGGCCAGATATTTAGTCACACTTTAGTGCAAAGGTTGTGAAGAGGAAACTGTATTTGCCTGAATGGCTCCTCGTTAATTTAAATGTGTTTATCCCAAAACTAAGAATGAAGGGTTTTTAACTAGTGGTGAGTTTCTTCTACAGTCTCTTCTCACTTCATTTACAGACTTTTTATGGGTAAAGGTTCCCACGTCACCACATAGAACCTAATTAATGACCTAAGTCTCAGTAAAAACAGGGTCACGATGAAATTCAAGCTGGATTTATCTTTACAGAGCTCCTAACGGAAAGAAAACCGTTATCATACGAACCAGGTAGTATACACTTGTAGAATTGTTTAGACTAATTGGGCTGTAACCGTTGGTAATTTTTGCGAATGGCATTCCCAAATAAATATGGTCTTGAATTGGAAAAGCGTAGAATATCCTCTCCAGGTCATGGATGAGGTCCTGCCTCAAGTGGGGGAGTTTAGTATCTTGGGGTCTTGTTCACCAATGAGGGGAAGATGGATCGTGAGATCGATAGGCGGATCGGTGCCGCGTCTGTAGTACCGGTCTGTCGTGGGAAAGAGAGAGCTGAGCCTGAAGCCGAAGATTTTGATTTACAGATCTACGTTACTACCCACACCTATGGTCACGAGCTTTGGGTAGTGATGGAGAGAAGCAGCCAAAAGAAGTTCTCTCCGCAGGGTGTCTGGGGTTTCACTTAGAGATAGGGTGAGAAGATCGGTCATTCAGGTGGGGCTCAGACTATATCCACTGCTTCTCCACATCAAGAAGAGCCAGTTGATGTGGCTCGGGTATCTGGTCAGGATGCCTCCTGGATGTCTCCCTGGTGAGATTTTCTGGGCATGTTCAACAGTGAGGAGACCCAAGGGAAGACCCAGGACACGCTGGAGGGAAATTTTTTCCTCAGCTGGCCAGGGAACATCTTGGGATTTCCCCAGAAGAGCTGGCCCAAGTGGCTGGGGAGAGGGAAGTCTGCGCCTTTCCGCTTAAGCTGCTGCCCCCACGACTCGACTCCAGATAAACAGATGAAAATGGACGGATTCTCAAATAAAGTTCTCAAACTGTCTCAGAACATTTGTGAGGATCCTCAGTTTGATTTATCAAATTTTGTGTTTAAAAATCCCCTCAAAGTAGTCAAATAGAATCATCACGGGCTTCAGGAATCCAAATCAAAACTGTCCCAATCAAGTTTACGTAGGTTAGAAAGTGTAAGGAACCAAGGAGGTGTTGACAACCACATAAAATGAGATGAAATGATTTTGTAACTACCTTCCAACAAGAAAATGTGCATGGCTTGTTCTTTAATTACATCGCATGAACCCACTTAAGCTGGGCGGACACTGTGCAACTTTTTCACTCGTAGCACTCAGCTTCAGCTCAAACTTTACGACTCCCTCGCAGGGCAGATCTCACGAGTCATGTGCTCACACTGTACGACCCAGTTCTCGGATGCGACCAGACTGCTCACACTGTAGGTCTGGTAGCAACACGTCGGACCTAAAAAATATGCTAAAATGTGCATGGCGGTGCAGTTGTTAGCACTGTTGACTCGAAGCACGAAGGTTGCAGGTTCGAAACTCGGCTGCGGCCTTTCTGCGTGGAGTTGCGTGTTCTCCCCATGCATGCGTGGGTTTCCTCCGGGAACTCCGGTTTCCCCCACAGATCACAACATGCCCTATAGGTTATAGATTGTAAGTCGCTTTGGATTAAAGCGTCTGCTAAATTAATAAACACAAACATAAACATGTATACACCAAAGGTAGCCTAGCAAGCCATCGTATGCATGTAAATATACAGTCTGGCCACAAGCCATTAAAACCACTTAGTCGTGGAGTGGAATCTACGGTTGTTTTTCCAACTGTCTCCACACACATTTGGACAACATTAGGACCAATCAGAGCAATAAACAACGTGATATATTCACCACTACAGATGTCAGTCAACGGGACAGTCCACCATACACCATTGAACAAGAAGCAAATGCATCCTTTTCGATATAAAGGACTTAAGTTCCCCTATCTGCTCATGTCTTAAAGAAAAACTTGTCTAAATCATCCAAAGTTGATGCCAAAACCATTTCAAACAAGCACCATTCCTGAGCCGATGCCATCTTTGCAGTTTTTCTCCATTGTAGCTCCAGTGTTAAACCCGCTGTGATTGGCGAGACAAAACACTGTTCAGTCCAATGTAAGACCTGCTGGGGCTGCAATGGAGCGTGTCTAGACCGACCTGCAGAGCAAAATCTTTTGCTAGTGCTATGGTGGGTCTAGATTTCTAAACTACACCAAAGGTGCGTTTAATTGAAATTGAAGATCAAGATAATCATCCTTGCAATGTTTGTTTGTGTTTGGATGCTGTGGAATGGTAGAGAATGACACGGAACGGAAAGGGTTGGGTAATTGCACAGCCTTACACAACCAGAGCTCCTGATGCTTAGGGAACAGCTGTGGTTTTTCTGTTTTTCTGCACTATATTTGGTGGATTTTTCTTTTCTTTCTTTTTTTATTCAAGAACCGAGTGTATCACAACAGGCAACATAGATAGAGATGGTTTCTTTCAAGTTCGCATACTTGGTAAGCCATCTTTGACTTGCTGGTGTAGCCTAGGTAGTTACTGAAAACAGTCCCGGGTGCCTTTGAAAGCATTTAAAGAACATCTGTTTCTATGTAGTCTGTGAGTGAATATGGAAAGCGTGTTATTTCTTGACACACAACTTGAGGAGAAAATCAACTTGGCAGCCATTTTTCATGGAAATCGCTCAAGGCTCCGGGCAGAAGTTAATCTTTGCTTTAATTACAAAGTGTCTTTTTACAGAGTAGATATGTCTTGAGCTCCAGGAATGTTGTTTTCATCGTCCTTCCCTCTCTCACTTTCATTCTACCCCCAACACACACACACACACACACACACACACACACACACACACACACACACACACACACACACACACACACACACACACACACACACACACACACACACACACACACACACACACACACACTCCCCAGTGGGGTAGTCCCTTTACACTGGGGCAAGAGGTCGGTTACTGGTTCCCTCTAGCCCGCCTCTGCCACATTGCCCCGCCTCACTTGTTTACATTCCTCTGCCCTTATTTGGAGTTCTCAAGCCCCCCTTACCCCCACCCCCCACCACCACCACACTGCCTTCCTTGTGTAGAGTGCAAACACTCTCACCTTCTCAGTAGAGAAAGAAAATGAGCCAACTTATTCAAACTCTCTTGTCTTGGCCCTGACCATTACCTGCTGGTCAAAAGCCATGCTCGCTCTCATGTGTCTGCGTTGTCTCTCCTCCTTTGTGAGTGTACGTTTTCTGGAGACTGTCTCGTGTGCAAACCTGGCAGGGACAGACAAGGTAGGACATTCTGTTGAACCTAAATGGGTGGTCGTGAAGAGTTGTAGGGGTGATGACGAGTTTAGGGGGTTACAGATGTCAGGGGTGGCAGAGAAAAAACATCAGGAATGCAGGTGAAGAGGTTAAAAAGCTGGTTTCCACTTGGCTAAATCCTGAGGAGTATTTGTAGAAAAAAAAATCCCGATGGGACTGACCTGCATTTAGCTCTGAACCGAAGCTGCTCGGGACATGATGCATGTTTGTGTGAGTAGAGGTGGTGGTGGTGGTGGGGGGGCATGGCATGCAAAATGGGAGCTTTTGCAAAAGAGGAGGGAGAGAGAGGGAGAGCTTTTATCATGCGTGTCTGGTATTTGGATCCTCTAGTCATGGTTTTACTGAAAGGCAAGCTCTTAAGGTAGTATGTTGAGGCAGAAAAGCACAGGAGTCAAGTTCCAGCTCCTTTTTTGTTAAGGCAAATGGAGGGTGGCCGTATATCTGTTTTTACTCCATACCTCCCATTTATCTCTATCTGTCATTTTACAGACATCTACAAGGTGAGGCCAGATGATTCTTGACTCTTGAGATTTTTTCCCCTTTTCTTCTGTGGATTAAGGAGTTTATTTGGACATATGTCCTGGGGTCAAGGGGCAAGCGAGAGTAAGTAGAGTGGCTTGATCTCAGCAGTGTGAGGAATGCAGGGGTCAAAAGAAACCATTGTAGACAGAATCTTGTAGCAGCAGGCAGAAGATTCAACATCTAGTCTAGAACGTGCACAAAGAGATAACATTCCACTTTCCACACCATTACTAGAAACTTCTACAGTTGACCTTATAGGATGGAATTTTTGTGCCGATTCTAATTTAGGTGATTTGTCTCCATTCAATAACGTAATTAATGTTTCTGTCTGTTTTTGTTGTAATGTTCTGATGATTTGTTCTGTTTGTCTGGTATGTGGTTGTAATGAGTTATGGCGTGATGTCAAGTGTCCCTGTCAATTTTAGACTGTTTTGCTGAAAGTCATGACTGTGCGTGCGAACCCGAGTCCCGTCCTTGTCTTTGTGAGTCTTCCATTTTTGTGTGTGTGTGTTTCTGCGTGTGTCCATACTGGATGACCGTATGAAGGGCTGCATTTCTTCTATTTTGCAGCACCCCACTCTCAAGGCCTAACCCAGGACAAAGCCGCTTGCAAGAGAAGCCCCATTGGAGGAGGAGGAGAGGCCACTCTGGGACGAGGGACCCGCACGACCTCCACCACCTCGAGTCCTGATCACAGTGACCACGCCCTCTCCGTCAGCAGCGACTCAGGCCTGTCCAGCACCTCCCTGTGGGCAGATAAACCCACAGTTGTCACCTCCACCAATATCCTCAGGGCTAACCAGGGACCCAGCCCGCAAGAGAAGGTCCAACTCAAACGACTCCTCAGTGGTTTTGGACTTGAAGATCCATCACTAGAGGAAATGGATGACCAAGGCGCTAAGGTGGGCATGCAGCAGATTGTCCCAGCACAAGTACACTTTAATGGAGATGCCCGGCCACGAGAGAGGGAAACGGACATCCTTGATGATGAAGTCATCACAGGGCATGATCTGCACAGTGTGGACAGTCTAGGGACTTTGTCATCTTCATGCCACAAGAGCAGTCAAAACTCCCTCTTGTCAGATGGATTTGGATGTCCTGGAAGCGAAGAGGCTCAAAACCAGCACCACCTGCATCACCCTGCTCCTACAGAAGAGTACGAGCGATCCTATGCAGAGGCTAGAAAAGCCTTTCTGAGCTCCAGAAGCAACTCTGTGGCCAGTTCTAACCCCAGCTGTGCTCCAGCACCCAAGCAGCATGTGTACAGACAGGGAAGCTACTCTACTCAGTCGTGGGTTCGTCAGCAGCAGATGGTCGTGGCCCAGCAGTTTATCTACATGCCCGAGGATGGGAATGAATCAGAAAGATATCCCGGAAACAAACCCGGGAGGAGTTCGCCCAAAGATGGCCAACCTCCCGCTGAACCACAAGACCCCATCAGGGCCGCTCCACCTGATCCTGTTAAAACCGCCTCCTCTTACAGAGAGCCAGTCATGACAAACAACAGCAACAATAAGAAACAAGACGAAGAGTTTAAATCGCTCACAATCGACATCGATAACTCCATCGATCAGCTCAATCAGCTGATCATGGACCTGGATCCCACCTTTGTGCCAGTGTCGAGCTCCGTTAAGAGGAACGGCGAGGCGCAGGTCAACGGATCGGTCAGCAAATGCTCGAACGACATCGATCTCAGATACAACGATAGTAAATTGGCAGCCCCAAAAAACGCACAACAGACAGGTAAGATGGTCGTACCACCTGAGTGGGGTGTGGTCGTGGAAACAGAAAAAAACAGAAGACAAATAAAATATTCTTATTACTAATTATTGAATAGTTCCCCAACAGCCTTGCTTTTGTTTCTCATGCAGTGTGGAGGTGATCTAACAGAGCGCACCTTCGCTCCCTCCTCTCCTGCATGCTTTAGTGGCAGAAATAGCAGGGTTCTTGCCAGGGTTTCAGATGTTTTCAGTGTGCTTCTAAGGGAAGGGTGCTGTCTAGACTTGCACACGTAGCTATCTGAGCGCAGGATCAGTGAGGTAGAGGAGAAGCTTCTCTTCAAGCTTTGTGAGCATTGACAGGCTCTCGTTATTCGAGTAATCCAACCTAGAATGAAAACAGTTAGTTATTGATTATGCTTTATGTATAATTTACAATCGTCATGCACTTTTTCAGTACACGCATTTCTAGTTTTATTCAGGCACTACACCTTTTGCTTTTATATCTTCATTTAGTTTTTTGATTTTAGATTTATTGAGACCTAAGAACTTACGCAACACGATCCCGCTTGCATCTATGAACTAAATTTATCTGCTACCAACCACAAAGATGAACATTTTGATACGTTTTAAACATTTTAACTAGTTTGAAACTTTTCATCCTACATGTGAGGAAGTCTCACAAAATGCAGCTGAACTAAAAACCAAAGTTGACTAACAAAACACAGCTACACAAATCGAGCGTGTGTTTGCAGAGGAGATGAGGTGGGGGTGGGGGGTGGGGGTGGGGGAGGATGGGATGCAAAGGCCTAAGGAATTTCCACGTAGGGAACAAGTGAGCCCGCAGGCACCATTTTTTCCTTTTGATTCCAATACTTACCTGTCTACGCATATCAACACAGGAGCTTCTTTAACTAGGTAATAGGAATCAATTGGGTTTTTTGATGTTTTTTTGTTACACTTTAATATGAGATTAAATTAGAAGCTGACTTCATTCATGTTAAGGGGGAAGACGACGACAACAAAAAGCAGTCTAGCTTTTGTTTTTCATTTAGTGAAGGTGGTAATTATCTTGCAGGATAAACTAGCTCCGGTTGAAGTATTTGTTTTCTTTCCCTGTCAGTTCACAGATATTTTATAGATCGGTGCAAATGATGTTTGCAGCAGAGTCCTTACTATAACTGGCTGCACAGATCCAATGCCAGTTTGTGATATTTCTAGTTAGATTTCCCCTTTAAGCTGCACATGCATTGAGTTTTTCATGCAGGCTGAACATGAAAGTAGTCTCCTACACCTATCTCATGCATTAGCTTCTGATAGAAAATAGATAATGAAACTCTAGGATTTGAAAATTCTGACAGATCTATGTCACACTAACATTCATGAACTGACCCATCTTGACTCACGACTCGCAATTGATTTAACGTCCGGTAATCAGCAGAGAATGTCTCGGCTAGTTTGAGCTAACCACATTAGCAACAACACCACACAGCAGAAGCTCCTCAAGGCTTGTGGTATTTGTAGAGATAAAACATCAACATTGCAAGTCAGCGGTAGAGTCGCATTGCTGTTAGCCAATCCAGAGCGAGATGTCCAAATGTCAGGAAATAAGACTCGAAGATCAGCTGTGATGTGGGCAACAACTTTTAGGTCAGAGAAATGGTGCACCACCGGTATATACTTTTTCCCCCTGAAAATGACTTTGATTCCTACTAGAAACCACCGCAAATGAATTAATTAAATGAGCCAAGCACTCCTTTAAAGCGTTTATAGGCTGATAGGTTTCCAGGGTCACATTATTTCTGACCTACTGTGTGTCTTTGCTTTTCTATTAGCTACAAAGTCTCATTAGCAGTTGTATTGTTCACTTCATTAGTAATGAAGGAAAGATTTGATTTTTACTTGACAAAATTAAACATTTCCCAGAGTGCAAAATACAGAAATTGGAGTTACTTGAGTTTCTAATGAGAAAAACAAATACAAATCCTAAAAATCATACAATAAGTTGTTTTACCCCAGTCAGGTGCTTGAGATTCTTAGTTATTTAACCCAACCCTGTCTACTAAATGTAGCCAAAGATAGAATACACCATGGAGCATGTTTTTTTATTTTTTTATTTCTTACCTAAATTAACTCTGGTTAAAAATTTCGAAAGGGGAAAATGTGGTCTGCATAGTTCAACCTTATTTCAAATGGGTCTCAGTTAAACAAAATATTTGGAGTTTATGTAAAACATGATGTGGTGCCCTTTTGAAGAAGAAACTAGTAGAAGAGTTTAGAATTGTAAAACTTTATTTTTTCCTAAAAGACCTTCAGCAGCTGTCATTATGATAGTCCATGTCAAGCAAGAACTTTGCACTGAAGCTGTTGGACCACTGGCTCTGGAAAATTGCCCCAAGATCCTCCTACAATACTTTAAGTTGTTTTAACTGTCACCCAACCTGCTGAGAGATACTCTGTGTGTGTGTGCGTGTGTGTGTGTGTGTGTGTGTGTGTGTGTGTGTGTGTGTGTGTGTGTGTGTGTGTGTGTGTGTGTGTGTGTGTGTACAGTTTATGCCAAACTCACAGCAGCAGTAAATGATGGCACACCAAATATGATAATAAAGCTTTAATTAACACGAAGCAGCTACCACTAATTCTAGCTTTGGTTTTTTTTTTTTGTACATAGCTCCAGGAAAATACTTTTAGTGGGACAATTTGGTTGCTCAGCTATTCAAAATAACTCCTGGGAAAAAAGCAACACACAGTCGAGCCAAGGTGTTAATTGTGGATTTTACTCCCAACAGACCCACTTCTTCTTTGCTTTGGTTATAATAGAAAGTTAATGTAGGCAATACGTCTTTTATTTATTTATTTTTTTGCTAGGCCTTTTCCCGCCCTGTTGAGCCCCATTCAGTTTAAAATGACTGCCATTCAGTGTTAGCCCACAACGTTGGACATCCACTTATGTACAGCTGTCAATCACAGAGCGTGCATGAGCGTTTGAGGACGCACCTAGACAGAGGCAGAGTTTGTACACTTTCTCGTGAACATATACGTGTAGAACAATGTGCTTTAGCTCCGTTTGCCGGCTAGAGATGCACTTTCACGAACGAGAGGTGTTGCTTTCAGCCCTAAATGGCCTGCGTTTGACATAGCGCTTTCTAGAGACTTAGAGCCCCCCAAGGCCCTTTACAACACAATCATTCACCCACACACATTCACATTCTGGTGGTGATGGGCTACAATGTAGCCACAGCCGCTTTGTGGTGCACTGACTGAGGCAAGGCTGCTGTGCACAGGTGCCACCAGTCCCTCCAACCACCACCAGCAGGCAATATGGGTTAGGTCAGCGTCTTGCCCAATGACACAACGGCAGCGACAGACTGAGCGGGGCTTGGACCTGCAACCTTCCGATCACGAGATGGACACTTAACCCTCTCTACCACAGTCGCACATAAATACAGAAGTGATAAGAAAGGCTTAAGGTGTGATACATTTGTCAGCCACTAGATTGTGCTGTGGGATGAAAAAATACTCAAGATTGTAGCTCTAAGTAAAGATCCACTTTATAAAAATAAATGTTAAGAAATATATAGAATATTGTCATATTTATTAAGGATTTTGAGCACTAAGTATCCATACATCAATGTTAATGTCATCAGGAATAACAATCCCTCGCTTTGGCTTACTTTAGTGCTAAGAGGTCAGATCTCATTGATGAGAGAATCAAATTAGCACCCTCCTCCTAATGATTGGCTGCGCTCAGTAAAACACACACAAGCTCCACTTCCTCCATCAGCCCAACCCTTCTGACCTTTAACACCCCTCAGCTGACTTTTGCCTGAGGTAAACTATTAGCTATACCACGGCGGGCTATGTTCAATCAAGGATTCTGTTCCCATAATTTTGCATTTTCTTCTTTTTTGTGTTTTCTGAGTGAGTTGGACCTGAAAAATAAAACAAAAAAGTTAAACCAGAGTACACTTTGATACTGAAGTTCAATAAAATATACAAATTGCTGAACTCGTTGCTGTTGTCTGCCTTGTGTGTGTGTGTGCAGCTGCGCAGCGCCACGACGGGCGAGCCGGCATCACACGGAGTCAGAGCTGCCAGAGCAACCATGTACTGGACCACCCAGTCTTCTGTAAATCAGGATGGGGGGACACAGAGGAGTACAGAAGCCAGAGGACATACTCCCCTCGTGTCCCCCCTCAGTTACAGGTAGTATTTGTCAAATTATTGCAGAAAAATCACCTCTACACATTTTCTGTGTTGTTCTACTGGGACATGACATCCCTGTGTGTCACTTGCTGCAGCATGCTGTTCTGTACAGGAGTGACAGTGCCAGTTATAGAAGCCACGGGTCAGACATGATGGACAGTGGAGTTGAGGGAGGCAGTGACATGACTCCTCCCACTCCTGCGTTTCCCCTCTCGCCACCAACACCTTATGGTAAGTGTTGCATGAGCTCCATATTATGAAATATGGGTAATGCTTCCTTTTATAGTCCCCTAGTTACTAAGTACTTACATGGTAATAACATGGTAATTACACAGTAAGTTAAAGTGTAGTATTGTGCAATTAAAATGTATAATTGTAATAAGGTGTAATTATTGTGTAAAGCTGGTAATGATTAAAAAACTAAAACTAGAATTAAATCTGAGTTACATGGTAATAACTGTTAAAGAACTCAGAAACAATAATACACTCTAACTTACAATGTTCAATTCAATTCAATTTTATTTATATAGCGCCAAATCACGACAAGAGTCGTCTCAAGGCACTTCACATGATAAACATTCCAATTCAGGTCAGTTCATTAAGCCAATCAGAAATAATGTTTCCTATATAAGGAACCCAGCAAATTGCATCAGCAATGCTCATACTAAGCAAGCATAAAGCGACAGTGGAGAGGAAATTGAGGCATTGGTATGTAATTACCATGTAAGTACTTCGTAATTAGGGGACCGTAAAAGGAAGCGTTACCGAAATATGTTAATGTTTTGTCTGATGTTTCTCTTTTAAATGTGTTTTAAGTGAAAAGTATGTCTGAACTGACCGATCACATGCAAGCTTCATCTTACGGAGGCTACAGAACGAATCATGGTAGGTTCAGAAGTCATCTTGCGCACTTTCTCTACATTATCTTTTTTTCTTTTGGTGAACCCTTAGGCATAAATACATTTAAACATACATTTCTGCATTTTTTTAGACTGAGGCTAAAAACTGTGCCGCCTCTTGTGGTAAAACAGGGAAACTCCTAACCGCTCTCTGCCCTTTGAGGAATGCTTGAATAGTTTTCTAGAGAACTTCATTATTCTTTAAATTAAGATGATATTTTCTTCTTTTTCATTTTTCATGGTATTTCTTTGCAGATTAGAACACCCTGTTTGCAATGTCTGCTCCAAAATCCCACAGGATGACCATCATCTACAAATTTATACTTTGTTTTTAGTCTCTTCTGTTTTAGAGAACTCAAGTCTTCCTGGTGCCTGTTATTCCTTCCTGTGCCGAACACAATCCCACTAAGCTCTTAGCCTTCTACTTTTATTTTATGCCTTTATTACCTCTTGTCAGCCTGTTTCCATGGAGATCTACAGTAAATCTAAAGGATGTGGGGCTCCGGGTGCAGATCTGTGCTCCTGCTGTGCCTCAGACATGCAGGCATGGGTCCGTGCATTCATTTCCACTGCGTCTCCATGGTGACAGAGTTAGAAAGCATGGCATGAAAAGTAAAAAAAAAAATAAAAAAAAAAGTATTTTTCTTCCATAAAAGTGTCTTTCAGCTTTGTACCTCAGGTTTCTATAAAAGTAAGGTAAAAAAAAAAAAACAGCCCAACTGTACAGACCCAGCGTCAGCATTTCAGTAGATGTCAGCAACTCAACACTATGGTTTATTTAAGTAAAGATTTTGGGTAATTATGGCAGGAGGTTTTTAATTTCTAGCTACAGTCTGGCTTGTTGACTCCATGGGTTGTGGCAGGGTCAATCTGTGATTTACTCTATATATGGATATATAGACTTAATACCTAAATTTGATGATTGGTGGGAGGTTTTCATTTCATTTCAACTTTTACAGGGAAATAAGTCATTTAAAGTTTTTTTTCCATTTGTTTCCCTTACCACATTTCTTGGTTAAGGAGTCCTGCTTGTTACATAAATGTTCACTCTTTTATTTTAATTTATATAATTTTTTATAAATTATTTTTTGTCGTGGTCATATTTTAGTTTCTATAAATAATCAAAGCATGCACTGAACTTCACAGAAAAATAACTAATTTGACATAAAAGCATTTGAATAAAAGATTAAACATCTTAACTGAACTTGATTATTAAATTTTTTTTAAAGCCAAACAAATTAAAATCGCTTTTTTTTCTTGGTGTAGACTTAAAAGTGCTACATTTATTTTATTTTAAGTTTATTTTTTGCATTTTTTCCCGTAACGTTCTTCAATCAATATTTTCTTTTTACCACCAACAGTGATGCTCAGTATTTTCAGCCTTTGCATTTCAAAATCCTTTTTGAGCTTTTGTTTTACATTTTCTTGGCACCCTTGCAGAACCCCAGGGATTTTCTGACATCAGTCATGTTGCAGTGGAGACGCTGCCAGATGCCTCCATCACATGCCACAGGGCGCTAACTTCTACACACTCTGCCTCCTTAGTTGGAACCCATCAGCACACAGACAGGTAGAGACTTGCTTTTAAAGGCATACTTTGGAAATGTTCATATTTAGAAATCCTTTTCTTGAGCTAGTATGTGCTAAAATTATGCTTTGCAAAGTTAATGAAATGCCACTCCCTACCGCCCTTTCTGGCCAGAATACCGTACTTGCAACTTCAGAGTGCTGGTCCGGTCTGTGGAACTTAGAAAAAAAATGGAGCTGATATATCTGGCGCTGCAATCTGATTTCAGCACGTTTCCTGCATGTTTTAGATCATTAACACAGCTGATTTGTTTGACTTAGTGATGAACCACTCCTGAAGGTGAAGGCCAAGGAGACATTTCAGCTTTAGATTAAGGTGTTAAAAGGACAACTTCACAAGGAGGAGACACGTTTTGCTTTTGGTTCTACTAAACAAACACTAGGGGTATGAAACTAGGATTATGACAATATTACATGTAACTTGTACCACGTTTTGTAACTTGTAACATGTTTTGTAACTGTAACTTTTGCTTTGTAGCATGTAATTCATGTTTTGTAACACGTAACTTTCATTTTGTAACACTCGACTTAAGTTTTGTAGCATGTAATTCTCATTTGGCAACATGCAACTTTGGTACATAACATGAAACTTTTATTTTGTAACTTGCAGAAAAAACTCAATGAACAAGTTTCAAATTACAACTTTCAAAAACACAAATCTCAGTCTACAGTTACAAAACTCAAGTCTACAAATACAAAACATGTTGTCCCAATTCTAGCTTGCTTCCAACAGAAATCGTCTTCGACAGGAATCCAAGACTCATGATTGGCTGGTCAGACAAAGCCTGCCATTGGTTCTTTGGGAAGGAAGCTAGAATTGGGCCAAAATGTTTTGTACTTGTAGACTTATTTTTGTAACTATAGACCAAGATGTGTGTTTTGAGAGTTGTGATTTGAAACTTGAACATTGATTGTTTTCTGCAAGTTACAAAATGAAAGTTTCACGTTACGTACCAAATGTTACAAAACAAAAGTTACAGTTACAAAACATGTTACAGGTTACAAAGCTTGGTACAAGTTACATGTAATATTGTCCCAATCCTAGTTCCATATAGGGGATGCTAAAAGCAAGCAAAGCTGCCATGTGTGCCTTTAAGCAGCACACCTTTTTATTTTTCATAATCAAAGGTGTAAAAGGAGTCGTACGGTCAGAATGATTTTAAATCCAATAAAATGTTTATTCCAATTATTACTCAAGCTCATCTGTGGGTCAGTCCTGGCCAGACCATCCTGTCCTGAGCCGCCACACCTCCCTGAACAACTACCCCACTGCCCGACAGCTGCCACCACACTCCACGTCTCTGGACTACGGCCACCACTCTCCTCCCTTACACCACCCCCACCCTGCCCCTAACGCCCACAGCTCTCCCCGATGCAGCCAGCTAAGCCGAATGGCCTGCTATGCCCTCAGCCATAATCACGCTCAAAACTTTGATGAGCAGGATGACTCGGGTCACGGCTACAGGACGGACTGTCCGAACATCGACGGGAACCTTTTATCCTCCGTGGAAGGGCAGCATCAGCCTCAGACATCTCTGCTGCTGCCTCCACTGCTGCCAGAGAAAAAGAGAGCATCAGATGGGGAGCACTCAGTGGGAACAGTCTCTCCTGCACTCAGTGGGTTCTCCAGTCCACATAGTGGGAGCTCCTTGAGTATTCCTTTCCCCAACGTCTTACCTGACCTGTCAGCTCAGACTCCTCAACCATCCTCACCTCTACCAGGTATGCGGGGTATTACAAATTGCCCCATGTGTGTCTAACATCTGGATTATCATAAATAAACACACATTGGTGGTTGATTTGTTTTCCAGATGTGCTAGCCAACAAGCAAGTTACTGCCAAGTTTGTGCAGGACACATCGAAGTTCTGGTACAAACCAGACATCTCAAGAGATCAAGGTGGGTTCATGATATTGTTCCTTTTTTTATTTTATTTTTTTAAAGAAAATATGAAACTTTTTCTGCACTCAGTCAACAGTTTTGTTTCTCTCCATTTAGCTATTTCAGTGTTAAAGGACAAAGAGCCCGGCTGTTTTATTGTGCGGGACAGCCACTCCTTCAAAGGAGCGTACGGTCTGGCTATGAAGGTGGCCACGCCCCCTCCCTCGGTTTTCCAACAGAGCAAAAAAGGTGTGTTACGCAGGGTTTGTTTACAGTCTGGTGTGTTTAAAATCAAACTCCTTTCTGATTGGTGCCAATCTTGTTTCGTTGCAACATTTTTGAGTTTGAAGAAATGCAACATTTGAGAAAACAGATGAATAAGTTATCCTTAAACATCACTTTATGCATTTCAGCTGCTTTAAACTATCTTGATCAATGCTAATATAACACTTAAAGTGGTTCTTCACTGACAAAACTTTTTTCAGTCATTATTTCTGATTATTATCGGTCATGCTGAAGTTTTCATGTAGGCTGAACATGAAAATAATATCCACCTATCTCCTGCATTAGCTTGTGATAGAAAATAGACGCTAGGATTTGAAAATCCTGACAGATCGGCATCGCACTGTCACTCAACATTCATGGACTCACCCATCTTGACTCGTGACAGAGAAAGCTGTTGTTGGTTCAGCGTCCAGGAAACAGCAGAGAACGTCTCAGCCAGTAGAAGCTAACCGTTAGCAACTGCACAACACAGCAGAACTCCTTGTTTTATTTGTAGAGATAGAACATCAGCATTGCAAAGCAAATAGAGTCAATGGTAGTTGCGTTTCTGTTAGCAAATCAAAGGCGAGATGTCCAAATATGAGGAAATAAAACTCCAAAACTGTCTGAAATCACTGTGCTGAAATAGACACTTCTGAGCTTTTTTTTAACCCCAGAATACGACTTGCAAGGCATTAATTCCGCTAGAGATCACCAACCTTTGACTCCATAAAGTCTCACTGGAATGTCACAGTTCTGATTAGACTTCCACAGAATCGTAAAAGTCACACCTAAAGCTACTGTACTCTCTGTCATGGTGGAACCTGAGACTGTTTTTCTCTGTTCGTGTCCAAAATCTCTTTTATCTGCATGTCTCTCCCGGGCGTCGCCATTATGAAACAAAACAGATTTCTGTTGTCTGATAGTTTTAGATGTGCAGCTAATGTTTCAGCACCAAACAAAGGATACGTCTGTTCTTATGCCAGGAGATTCTTCAGGAAAACTCCCTGTTCCACATACCGCCTCCCTGTCTGACGTAAAAGCTATACTTAAGTCCTAAAATCAAAATATGTTGTTTGTTTAGTTTGATTTTGGTTTTGCTTATTTAGTTTTAGGCGTAGAAACGGTCATTAGAGGAGCCTGACCAAACATTATTTGGCCATGTTTGAGCCTGAAAACAAAGGAGATGACATTAAGACATTAAATCCTCAAAATATTTCCTTGCAAACAAGTTTAATTATTTATGTTGTCCATTTACTGAAAGAAAAATCACTTAAAGACACAAAGAATTGCTTTGAGTGATGTAACTGCAGGGAATGTAAGACACATAAGGAATTCTTTAATGGCAAATGCATTAACTCTTTTATGTTTTTGTCAGATTTGAAAAAAAAAATGGTTCCAGAGAAATGATAAAACAGCCTTTTTTAGTGCTACCATCCAAGTTCAGTTTTTAGTCAGCACAGGACTTCTTACTGCAAGCACGGGTGTTTAATTCTCATAAATGCTATATATTAATGTTTAATTGTGTGAAGGCCAGTGTTGGGAAAGTTACTTTAAAAAATATTTAATTATATTTCCTAGTTACGTCTTCAAAAACGTGACTGAGTTGCTATCTTATAAAAGTAACTAATTACCAGGAAAAGTAACTAGCCTATTGCGTTACTTTTTTCTTGTATATGCAAGTAAATTTGGATCCCTTCTTTGTAGAACTTACTGCATTTTAAATGAATTACTACAATACTAAAACATAAGTTACCAAAAACACGTGAACATAATAAAATGTGTGTTAAATTATTTATTCTGAAAATGAATAATTGAAATGAATTGGACACCAAACAGGAGGATCTATAAAAAGGAAACATTCTAATCTATTAAAATGCCATTGTGTGATATGAAACAAGACCCCAATTAAATTAATAATTGCAAATAGAATTATTTCTACATTTCTAACATTAGGGCAGGGGTGGATTAAATTGCTCACAACTGATGTAGAAAATCACTTTTTCCCTGGGTGTAAATTACCTTTCATATGGATTCATGCATTTTATTTCTTTAAAGACAAATAATGTCAGTAGTTTTAGTCTGTAAACGGTGTGTAATACTGTTACATTTATTAGCATTTCTATTATTCTAAATCTAGTGGCAGCATATCTATAAATAAAAATCCTTAAAAATAATCTAGAATTGACACAAATGTGGTTGAGGACTTAAATTTGCAAACTTGGATCAGACCAAAACATGGAAGTTTTGATGCTGGGAGGTATTTAGTAAAACCTGAGCACCCAGACGAAATGTGGCAGAGTCACTGTTACAGCGGGACTTCGGGAAAGAACAGGAACAATATCTGGTTCCAGTTGGATGACTGGAGAAGCATCTAGGAAGTTTAGAGTTCGTGACAATGAATGAATGAACTGACGTCTGAGCAGTTATATGTGAGCTCCGGCGGTCACACCATGGAAGGTACAGCTGCAGACCCAGAGAATGCAGAGCAGATTCATGCCCCTTTACCTCCTGATCAGATGACAGCATGCTACAGAATTACAGTAACACGCTTTATAACGCTGGAGAAAGTAATTAATTACACACTATTAAAAAACACTAATTCCGTCAATGACGCTATTATTTTTAACGCTGCTATTCCCATCACTGGTGATAGCACATTTCACACTTACATGTCTGCAAGAATCTCTCTTAACTGCCCCTCTCCTCCATTACAACTATCTAACTTGGTGTTCAGTCCCACTCACACCTGTCCTTTTGTTTGCTGTCTGTGGTCCAGCAGCACCTGCGGTGATAACATGGAGCCTCAATTTGAGCCGGAAGCTGTCTAGTTTGTTAAAAGTGTGAAATCAAACCCACAAATAAGCTCCTCGCCATCAGAGGGAGTCCTATTGCCACATCAGAGAGAGTTAATCTCACTGTGGCAGTTTGATGTCTTTAATGGAAGAGCTTGGGAAGGACACATTTCAGAAGCTGATGTTTAAACTGGAACCATTTCTTCAGCAGGAGGAGATCTGTCCACTGAATTAGTGCGTCACTTCCTGATCGAGTGCACGCAGAAAGGAGTGCGGTTGAAGGGATGTCCCAATGAGCCCTACTTCGGTGAGTCTTTCCTCTGCAGAGACTTTCCTCACCGTCCGTCTCTTTGGTTCCTCTGCAGCAAAACATCAACTTTATGACTGACACTGCCCTCTATTGGTGCATGGTGCTGTCTGCCAGTGGTTTGCTGTTGCATCATGAGCTGTCATCATTCATTATATCTGAGATATGAGCTCAGATCCGATTAAATTTGGTTGTCTTGAAAGATATTGGGTATAACAATCATTTAGAATATTTTGGACTTACAGTTAAATAATTTTATGTTCTTGTTTTAAGGCCCTGTTTCCACATATGTGGACTTTTTGCACTATAATATTGTACTGTCTTTAACTTAGACCTTTTTTTATTAGTTAGATGCACTTAATATTTACTTTAATTTTAAACATTCTTTTTTCTCAGAAGTTTGCTAAATTTTTAATTAGATTTTTTGTGTTTTGTTCACGTTTACGAGAGTAAACCAACCTGTAATGACTAGAAGTGTTTTCTTTTTTTTTAAATCATAACAGATACAATTTCAGGTCTCAGGAGATTAATATTTCTTTTATTTTTTTCAATCTAAAACAAACTTGACGTTGACGTTTTCTTTCTTCATATCCCTTCTCTCACTTTTCCAAATTTCACTAATTATGTACAGAGTGGAGTAGGTAGTGTTTTGCACCTTTACTGTAAACTATAATTTGGTTTTGACACACTATTGTTTAACAGGAAGCCTAACCGCGTTGGTCTGCCAGCATTCAATCACTCCCTTGGCCCTGCCCTGCAAACTTATCATACCTGACAAAGGTACACCATCAAACACAGATTGTTTCCAAAAACAAAGAAAGCAAAGATCATTCTAATAAACTGTTTATCTGTATGATTGTTGAATTTTGCCTGTTAGTGTTGCTGTTGATGTTTTTTATTATTATTCTCATTTTTAAGATCTTCTTGAAGATGTAGTGGAGAGCCCTGCTCAGTCGGTCACAAACTCTGCTGCTGAGCTGCTGAAACAGGGAGCAGGTAATCGCTCACTCTGAATAGACATTATGTCAAACACAAGAGGACGAGTGTGCAAATAAACACCTGACACATCCGTCTATTTCTGCTCTGCAAACAAGTCATTTTTCTCCCTCTCTAATGTGTGATTTGACTTTGTTTGTGCAACTCAGCCTGTAATGTGTGGTATCTCGGCTCCGTGGATATGGAGTCGCTCACAGGCGCTCAGGCCGTGCAGAAAGCCACCACCATGACCCTGAACGCTGATCCTCCACCGAACTCCACTGTGGTCCACTTCAAAGTGTCTTCTCAGGGAATCACTCTGACGGACAATCAGAGGAAGTGAGTTTAACAGACACACACACATATTTACATCGCTCATATAAAGATACATCTATAAATCATAAAACTGTTTATTTTCAGGCTTTTTTTCCGGAGGCATTACAATGCAAATACAGTTATATATTGTACTCTGGACCCTCAAGATAGAAAGTGAGTATTCATTTTATTTGCTTTCATAACATTTTCTGTTATGAAATTTTATTTAAAGGCATACTCCTTTTCTTGAGCCAGTATGTGCTAAAATGACCATTTACAAGGATAATGAAATGCCACTTAGACCCCCCACTGCCCCCCGTGGCCAGAATACCGCATTTGCAACTTCAGGCCTGTTGCGCCTTTCGGAGCTGACATACCTGGCGCTGCAGTCTGGTTCCAGCATGTTTCCTGCATTTTTTTAGATCACAAACACAGTTTAACAGTTTAATTTATTGATGAACCCCTCTTGTAGACACTAATGAAAGCTGAGGAGACATTTCAGCTGTTAGATTGAGGTGTTAAAAAGACGAACGCACACCGAGGAGTTTCATTTTTGGTTTAACCACAGAGAATTAATAACGGACATGAGGGGGTGCTAAAAGCAAGCTAAACTGCCAATTGTGCCTTTAAATGTTTTTTAAAAGTCTTTATTCAAATGTCACTTTGCTGATCCACTTTTATTACCACTCATAGGTGGAAAAAAGATGGATTCCCTTCAGCTAAGTAAGTAAATAATTTCCCCATAATTGCAACCAGAAGTATTTCTAAAAGCAGTCTGAGGTTGGTCACGGTTGCTGCTATTAAGTACTTTACTCCACCTTTCTGCAGAATCTTTGGCTTTGTGGCGAGGAAAACTGGCACTTCCAAGGACAACATTTGTCACCTGTTTGCAGAGCACGATCCTGAGCAGCCAGCAAGTGCCATAGTCAACTTTGTGTCCAGAGTGATGATCGGTTCACAAAGGAGTAAGTAGGAGAGAGCTGATCACCTGGAAAGATAAACGGCTTTAATCCTGGATACTAACTGGAAAACGAATGATATCCACGAGAAAGAAAATGGTGACATTTAATTTCTTTTTATATGAACTGTAAATTAGTCAAAAAAGAAGCTAAATGACAGAAATGTGTTTTCCATTGGTAATCAGCAGTAGTCTTGTACAGTTTCTTACTACTTTTTTTTCAAATGAACTTTCTTATATAGCTGCATCTATTTTTCTGATATTTGTCATCGTCTACGTGCTGAAGCAACTGTACAGCTGTGAGGTCACAGAAGCATCATAATTGCTTTTATTATGGAGGAGACTTTTAAAACAGTGGAGCAAATTGGTGCAGTTTTGCAGAATTTGGATACAGTTCTCTTCTTTATCTATGCAATGTGTTTAGACAATGGTACTCTTCACATGTGTATGGGGCTTTAAAAATAGTTTAAAATGTCTTTTAGATGTGTTGAACATGACCACTTTAAAAGCTGTATGTATGATGTTTATGGAAGCATGTGTTTATTTTAGTGGAGATATGTTTTTATTATTAAACTATAATATATTTTTGATGTTAACTGGATGAGTTTTTCTTAAACTACAGTAAAAGTATTCCACTCAACATTTTTAGGGACTCATGGCCAATAATCTTTTTTTTTTTACTTCTCAAAGAATATAGAGGCTGCTGTATTAGAGTATGGTTATAATATACAATACAGGACTCATCTTAGTCATCTGTCGATGATCTATACAATACAATAAATATATATACATATTAGAGATGCACCCTATATCGGCTGATCTGAGTCATGTTTTTAACAAGTCGGTATCGGTCCGATATGTGAAACTGAGGCGAAATTGACAAACAAATTCTTTTTTTTTTTTTACATCTAGTAGCTATGTGTGCGTCACTTTCAGAAAGGGATGGGTTTCATAATGCATAATTGTTTGGTCATATGAAAGTGATAGTAATCATCTCAGAAGTGTTAATGTATGTGGTCAGAGTATATCTTATATTTGGGGTGTTAATTAGTAACAATTTGCCAATACAAAGGATACGATACATTATCTTGCAAAACTAAAAGCCAGATGATAAATGTAATTTTTTTTGACTGAACTTAATTGAAAAACTCAGATCAGACATTCCAAGTGTGTCAACAATATTTTGTTGCTCTGTCAGTGAAGGTGGTAAAAGCTGCTGCCACCTAGCAGTCGAGGTTTGAATTACACCACACAAAAGAATTATAGTAAATATGTGCTTGTAAATTCTCAATAAAAAACTCATATACTGCTTTTAAATATTGGTAAAACAAATATCACAATATTTCAGTGTATTCATACTTTCTTACATTCCTTCTGTGATATCAGCAAACTTTAGTTATCGGGTAAAACGGTGATATTGATATCGGCCCACATTTTCATATCGGTGCATCCCTAATACGTATTATTGCATATGAGATGATGACCCCTTTTTTTTTTTTTTACTTTTGGACGGGTAACTGTTTTATCAAGCGAGGGACCTATGATCTAAACCAAGCTGTTGGTGTTGCTATGTGACATTTGTTACTTTTATAACCTATTTTCTGTCTTGGTAATCATTTCATGCAATACTGTGTCTGTGTGTATAACATGTTCCATGTAAACAGCATGTTTGTGTAATAATACTGCGTTGCTTGATGTTTTGTGTAAATAAATGGCAAAGGATTTGTGTAATCTTGATGAGGGAGGGTTCTTCCTTCAACAAGCTAGGTTTGCAGAGATCCCTGGAAATGTTGAGACTGCAATGTAACGGCGTGCTAGATATCTGCAGCAGATGCTTTCACCTGAAAGAAAAGGAAGCGGCGTAATGACGAGGGCCATGTTCCACCCATGCCAGTTGTTTATTTAAAAAACTTCTAATACGCTGGATTTTTCTAAACGGAATGTAGCCATTGCTAACACACCTTTTTGCTCTAAATGAGTCTGTGTAGCAACATAGGCTAGCTAAGAGTTATCATTTAACTGGAACAAGGACATACGTTTTTCTACTACTAGAGACAATGCTATTTGTAAGAAAAGCAAATTTTAAAATTTCTAATGAAAGAGGAAAACCTGGAAGAATAAAAAGAAAACAGAATCAAACTGACTGGTTTCAAAGAGGTTTAATTTGTACCATATTTTATGAAAGAAAAAAAGGTTAGAATCTCATTAATTGGCAAAGAAACACCAGTACGCCAATTTGTCACAAAAGTCTGGTTTCATACAAAATAATCTTTTGCTTTTTCATTGACGTATCTAAAAATGCAACTTCTATGTCATATTTTCATTGCCAAATGAAAAAACGCAAACTATGAAAATGCGTGACCACAACTCTTGTTAGATTAAACAAATGTCGTTGGCAGAATCAATTCTTTTTAATTTCTTTATTATTATTATTATTTTATTTGGCTGCTTAAGCTTGCTGCTAACCTGTCTAATCTAAAAACAAACCAAGATTAGATGGAATGCTACCTCTAGGCACCCTTTCCCTTAACTTCTCGTGTAATTGGAAAGGCAGTGGTACTTATTTCTGATCAGCACGTTAATCACCTGCTGATTGAAATCAGGTGTATTGAAGCAGAGTTGAAAAGTAAAACATGCTGAATGCTGGCTTTCCAGGACCAGGAGTGAGTACCACTGCTCTATGGTGTCAGTGAAATAAATAGTTTTAGTTTAACACGCAGCCAGCAGGGGACACTAGCAACAAAACACCAGTTCATCACCAGGATGAAGAATGGGTGTTCAGAAAATAATTGTGAGCTGGTTATTCAAAGCGGAGAAGAGTAATCGTTGTGCACCTACATATATCATCACATCCTTTAATGAGACTCGTACGACAACATCCAAACAAAACATCTGTCTTCCCTTCTTTAATGAGGATTTTACTTCCTCACAAGCTTGTACAGGCTTCTCTAATAATGCAGAGAGAGAGAATGAAATTGCAGGGGCTGGCTTTAAGAGAGGGAAAGGTGTAAAGACGAGGACCCCACCTCCTCACCCCCACCCTTCCACGCACCTCCACAGGTGGTGAAAGTGAAGAATTCCCGGGGAGGGCAGGAAGGATGCTAATGCCCAGGTGTGGTGGTGTGACTGCTGAGAACTCAGGGACCGTCATCCTCTGTTATTTGACTGTGAAGCTGGGGAAAGTCCAGAATCACCCAAAAAGATCATTACAGCATGGGTGAGACAATATTTCACACAGTTAACGACAGCATGTGTCAGCACGTCGAAGATATGTTGCTGGTCTGCTTTAGTGTAGCAGAAGATCCCCAAATGAAACTTTATCTCCCATTGCTGTGCAGCTAAAACCTCAGCTTCATTTTTCAATGTTATGTTTTTATTTGTGACTTTTCTATGGAAACTTAAAAAAAGGAGCTTGTGACTAACACAGAGTTTATTTAAACATCTTTGGTGTGTTTTTGCTGTGTTGAAATTCTTATTCCATCTTTTAGTTCTTTTTAAAACACAGAAAGGTTTTATTTACCTGCAACGTTTCGTTTGCAAACTTCGAAACAGTTTATTTATTGTAAAAATAAAACGTTTTGGGAGATGCATGGTTATTGCTTAGTCATCTGGGAGGGGATTGGAGTAGATCTGCTGCTCCTCCACATCAAGAGCAGCCAGTTGAGGTGGCTCATGCATCTGGTCAGGATGCCTCCTGGACGCCTCCTTGGTGAGGTTTACTGGGCACGTTCGACTGGGAGAAGACCTAAAGGAAGATCCGCTGGAGGGTCTATGACTCTCAGCTGGCCAGGGTACACCTTGGGATTTACCCGGAAGAGCTGGCCCAAGTGGCTGGGGAGAGGGAAGTCTGGGCCTCTCTGCTTATGCTGCTGACCCAACGACCCGACCCCAGATTAGTGAATGAAAATCGATGGATGGATGGCATGGTTATTGCTTTACAGCAACAATATTAATGATCAATTAGAGAAAAGAAATGGAAGGGTGGATGGAGAGTGTTAGAAATTGTGGCTCAGAACCAGGAAACTGATGAGCTTAGAATACCATGAAATTAAAATCAAGACACTTTAGAAACCACATTATTAAACAGGTGACAAAACGTAAATGAGAACGCTCTTCATGCATGGAATAATGGAATATCTGAAACAAAAATGGCTAAACTTACAAAAAGCTTACAAAAAAATCTACAGATTGCCAAAAGTGTGAATGCTAAACAGCAGCATGAAAAACCACACGTGTAGAACTTGACTTCGTTTTTAGTTGACCCAATCAAGAATGAACCCTGGTGAATTAAAAACATAGAAACTAAACTTAGTTTCTTTAATTAATCTATTCATCATCTTGTTTTCTACCAAAGTAACATGCCACAGAATGAAGTTTAGTCCTCAACAATCTGCAATAATAGCTGTTTCATTATTTATTATTTTGACATTGCAGTTGGAGGCAGAGGCCCCTAAAACACATTACTTGAGACTGGCACATACAGTATGCCAGGAGCTGCGGCTTTACAAAGAACTTCACAGCTTTTCACCACCCTCATCCAGTTTCATCTTGCAGCTAATAGTGAGGTTAAAGTCCCAGTCTATCAGCCTGACAGAACTCATTCTCAGCCCTCTGGCACCCTGCTATGCAGCTTTTTTATGGCCATTTAATTAGAGGGGCAACTCTCGTCTCTTGCACTTGAGGAAGAACAAAGGTTCGATGACAAAAATAGAAAGTTTGCTCTGAGATAGCCACCCATCTCTTCTCCTGCTCCTTTGGTTACCTAATGGATGAATGCACACCTGTTCGGTTACTTGTTAACACAAAGAGATAATCAGAAGAAGAAGAAAATATCATTTTTATAGTGCCTCTCAAGATAGAAATCACGAGGTGCTTCACAAAAACAAAAAATGTAAAAATATAAAAAAGAATTTAGAAAATGGTTACAAATATAAAAAAGTAGACTATTGTGATTAAAAATTGTTAAGCAAGAGAGAGAGTGAATAGGAAAGAGGGAAATCAGTGGATCCTGAGGAAGGTGGAATAGGTGGGGTGAGCAGAACAAGGAGAGGGTGAAGAAGGTCATCCAAAAGCCAGCTTGAACAAGTGAGTCTTCAGCTGCTTTTTAAAGGAGACCACTGAGTCCGCTGATCTCAGGCTCAGGGGGAGAGAGTTCCAGAGTCTGGGGGCCACAGCAGCAACTTATCTGTCACCTTTGGTCTTAAGCCTGGTGCTGCACAACCAGTAGGCTTTGATCACTGGACCTCAGGGACCTGCTGGGGGTGTAGGGACTAGAAGATCACCAATGTAAGATGGTGCTTGTCCATGTAAGGCCCTATAGACCAGAACCAGGATCTTGAAATAAACCCTGAAGTTGACTGGCAGCCAATGAAGCTGGTGGAGAAGTGGGGTGATGTGGGTGTGTTTGGAGGACTTGGTCAGAAGCCGAGCACAGGCATTCTGAACCACCTGTAGACGGTTCAGGGAGGTTTTGCTCAGACACATGAAAAGAGAGTTGCAGTAGTCTAAGCGTGAGGAGATGAAGGTGTGGAGAACAGTCTCAAGTTTAGAGAAGGACAGAATGGGACTCAGCTTAGCAATGTTCCTGAGATGGAAGAAGGAAGAGCGAACAAGAGAACTGACATGAGAATCCAAGGTGAGAGCTGGGTCAAAGGTCACACCAAGATTCCTGACGGAAGGTTTGGTGTGAGAAGCAAGCTGACCAAGAGAGTCTCTGACTTTGGGAACCAGCTTGTCTGGGCCACAGATGAGGATCTCAGTCTTATCTTCATTCAGCTGAAGAAAGCTCCCAGCCATCCAGGTTTTAATAGAATCTAAGCAGGTGTGTAACAGCTGCAGCTTAGACATCTCATGGGGCTTAAAGAAGATGTACAGTTGGATGTCATCTAAATAAAGATGGTAGGAGATTCCTTTGAAGGAGTTCAGGATGTGCTGAAGGGGAAGCAGATAGAGGAGGAAGAGGAGAGGCCCCAGCACAGAACCTTGTGGGACACCATGGGTAAGGGAGGTGGTGGAGGACCTAAACTTGGAGACGGCCACAGAAAAGGAGCGCTCAGAAAGATAAGAGGAGAACCACTCCAGAGCTGTTTCTGATAGGCCTACCCAGTCTCTCAGACTCTCCAGTAGCAGGTGATGGCCAACAGTGTCAAAGGCTGCAGCCAGGTCCAGCAGGACCAGAACAGAACAGTCCCCTGCATCACTGTGAGTCAGAAGGTCATTAGAGACCCTAAGAAGAGCTGTTTCAGTAGAATGAGCTCTATGAAAACTTGACTGTAAGTAATCATAGATGTTCTGTTCATCAAGAGCAGCTGTGAGTTGTTTAGCCACAACCTCTTCCAAGATCTTGGAGATGAACGGAAGTTTAGAGATGGGTCTGAAGCTGCTATGGAGAGAGGCGTCAAGACTCGTTTTTTTAAGAAGCGGGTGGATTACAGCGTTCTTAAAGTAAGCAGGGACCTGACCAGAAACCAGAGAAGCATTAAAAATGGAGAGCACGCTGGGACTGATGGACTGAAAAGCACGTTTAAACAAAGATGAGGGTAAGATGTCGAGGGGGTATGCAGAGGTCTTCATAGACTTAACTAGTTTGGTTAACTCAGGCAAAGAAACAGGAGCAAAGCTATCTAGGATGATGGGCCTGGTTGGAGTCGGGAGAGGCGGCAATAAGGCTGAAGGAGAGATGCTAGATCTAACCTTATTGACTTTGTCCACAAAGAAAGACAGAAAGTTCTCACAGT